TTTTCCATATTAACAGTTTACATTGAACTATTTTGTAATAAAGTTCTAGCTTTTATCGTAGAAGTTTAAGCTTTATTTATTTAGGTGCTTAATGAAAGTTACCTATGATAATAAATTAACAACGATTGGGATTAGAGTACAAACCTAACTGCTGATTCTGAAATGAATTGCCTTATTCTCATATTAAAAATCTACAGCCAAATTAAAAGTTCTATAAAACATTAAATCGAAAAATTCCATGAGATAAAGACCTAGTTCCGAAATTATAGAAAAACAATTAAAAATAAAATTTAACTTTTAATTTCAAGGCCTGTAAATTATTATAAAATGTTGAATTTTATAGGGAGAAAGGTGGAGGAGATGAATAAAGAGGTGGCAAAAATTTTAAGCCCTGGTTCTGACACATTAAATATTTTACCTAGGTACTAAAGAAATAAAGAGCAATGATTTGGTTGAGTTTTAAGTAAAAGAAAAGTAGAGAAAATTTCTTGTAGATTAAAAGGAAAGGTTTAGACGTGTTAAATGAATTAATTGTGCAGATGTGGGATAATCTATTTACAATTACGCTGTTACTTCTTACAGTCCAGTCGATTAACGCTCGAAAAGGGGTTATAGTAGAAAGAAAGGCGGGGACATATTTTTTGACTTTGAGACATTGGACGGACACGTAAGGAGGTAAACATACTAAAAATCCCACTCCTAGGTCGTGAGCCAGACGTAGGAGGGCAGTGCCTAGGTCACTTTTTTCGGGTTTTCGCTTTTCTCAGGAAAACTATCCATCGCATCGACAAAGACGTTCTAAGCAAAATTACAACTGATAAAATTTGAAATATGAATGATCATATATCTTTTTTCGCTACCTCACTTCATTTCGGAGATATCCAACCTCAACTATGGCTAATTTTTATAACGATTTTTGCCTCATGTTTATTGCTGTATTTCGGGTTTTTGATTTATATCAGGAATACTATCCATCACATCAACAAAGATGTTCTATACATAATTAAAGCTGATAAAATTTGCAATAGGATTGATAGAATACCTTTTTTCACTACCTCTCTTAGTTTCCCAGATATCTGTCATAAACTATCGCTAATTTGGAAAAAAAAAAAATTACCTGTTTTTTTATTGTATTTGACAACATAACTCTTGATTGCTTCATTCTACAATTAAGTCATGTTGAAGAAAGTTTTTAGTAATACTAATTTATCTCCAATATAAAAAGTTCTAATTCCAAAACAAATACCAGTCAAACTGATTAAAAATAAAAGTTAACTTTTCATATCAAGCCCTGGCAAAGATAATTAGTGTTAAAGAAAAGTAATGAAGACAGAGCTATGTAACCAGAATGGAGACAGCTACATTAAGGTCCATCAGCACCTAGCAGTGTTTCCCACCACAAAACTTTTACCCAAGAAATATCTTCGCGTTTCTTATCTCACTCAGTCGAATCTAGATAAAAATATTTAAAAATTTATTTATTACCTTTAATAAAGTAAAGCAAAGAGAGATTTAATATTGTGCTTGACAGCAGTACGTTGATCCACACATCCCCCATACAACCAGACATCTCTGTTTCAAGTTCTTAGATGAATATTAACCTTTTTTGTTATTTGAAGAGTTTAACCTTAATCTTATACAAGTTCTTTACCATTTTAATTTTATTGTAGGTCAAATTTATACAATTTTTATTCCATGGGAGGATCTAATTCCAGTAGTATGAAAAATCCTATTACTCTAAATATATGGTTAGGATGTAAATCAAACATCAAGATAGATTCATTTCTTGCTTCAATTAAAAAACTATAATAAGCTCTCCTATTTACAACACATATATGCCTCAATTCAACCATTTTCAAATCAAATATTCCAGAATTATATTCACTTGTAAAATTCCAAATGATGCAGAACTTCTATAATTATAATACCTTCACCTAGTAAAGTTTATGGGAATAAAACAGCTTTCATTATATCAGCATATAATACTTACTTAATTCTTCCTGTATTTAGGGTAAAGAGAATTATTGATGCCTATTTCAATAGCTGAAATGTTGTACCACAAGTTTATTACTGATATGTTATATTTAATCTCAACAATGCTTGGAAATCCAAAATGTTGAGAAATATGAGACTTCAAACTATGAAAATTGAGGTAAATATTTTAGTGAAAAATAACCAAAATTTAAAACTAATACAAATCAGTGGTTCCCCTAGGAGAAATGGTGGTCCACTCTAGGCTTCACAGTAGATATTTTTTTTTTTTTTTTTTTTTTGTATGTAGAAGATTTCTAAAACTTGCCAATTTATACAAGTTAACCTAACATTTTTCTCATTTGGTTCAAACTATATCAGTTTATTCATTTAATGAACATTGGCTAATAGATTTTAATTCCAATACAAGTAAATAATATAATAACTTTTCAATAAGTTGATAATCAATAAATCAGAAAAAATAAAGTAAAACTAAAATAAATATCATGAGTAGCTTTAACTGTAGCAAATATTTGTAAGGCAGAACATGTGCAGTAGAAGAGAAACAAAGATGTGTCAAATTAAAACAATGTAGAGCACTTGAACCTAATATGAAACTTCCTGTTAATTAATTTTAGGCCCAGCAGCTTTCTCCCAAAGGATTATCAGAAGATATGTTTATACAAGGCCTATAGAATATTCAACTATCAAATGTACCATTAAGAACGTTTTTTTTTTAGTTTCATGAAACCTCTAACTGGGATTATCAATACCCAATACAATACCGCTGAAAAGTTCAAGAAGAGGAGAAAATGGGATAAATTTCGAACAGAAATATACATACATTAAAGGATATTAAAAAATCAAATTAAGAAATGGGAATTAAACTTCACCTGAAGTTTCCGACTTGAGCAACAAGCTATAAGACCAGATATATAGAAAGTCAAACAGATCCTGCAACAGTTTTTATGCAGAGTAAATTATAATTGGACCAAATTATGATTGGATATATTGTTCAAAACTATACTCAACACATGTAATTCAGATTTTGAACATTTTTTCTCAAGAACAGTTAAAAATTATGAACAAGTAAATATATTTTTAGTTCGGGCTTATCATACCACTATATTATTTATAACACCACTTATTGAAATCATTCCTAATAAAATCAAATATAAACAGTAAACAAATGACTTCAAAACATGGATTAATTTAAAAAAATAAATGACCCAATGGAATCCTGATCCAGTTATGGAAGAACTAATTGATGTTGGAAATTAGGACGCTTTGACAAGTCTTAAAGCAAAAAAAAATTGTTTAACTCATTTTAGAAAAACAAACAAATGAATAACAAAATATTAGCATAAAACATGAGATACTTATTATTAAATACAAAACAGTAGCTTTCCTAAATCCTTACGTATTGATAATATCAAATTAGCATTGCTAATTTGTATTAAGAAGTATTTCATTGTTAAAAATGTGAATAAGTATTTTTTTGTGCACATAGAATAAATACAGTCATCAAATACTATTTTGGACATGTTTGAGGAAAATTAATGAAAAAATAAAATAAATAAAGAGGAACATTATGTAATAATATGAATGTAAAATAAACCAGTTTAATTATAATAAATAAAAAAGTTAAAAAAAAAAATAATTCAGCTAATGATAATACAAGTTTACAGCATTTTAAATTAATAAACAATTTAGAGCAATGAAATTGATAAAATTACCAACCTTTAATTCAGAAATTGAAAATTTAGGCACCCTAGACCTAACTATTACTTACGTAACTGATAATATCTTTTTAGCCGTCATGAAGTAGACTTTACCAACCTAAGTTGTAATTAATACCTAAGTTGTAATACATCAATGAATCTCTTAAAAATATTTTTGAAATCTTCAAGTGCACTTAACTTTAAGTGCTGTTATTTTAAATATTTACATTTTTTATTATGGGTGGGGGAAGTATAACTAAGTTCTTGAACAAATCAACATCATAGCCACTACCATCCCATTGATGCAATGCAATGAATTACTCAAATGCATTCCTATATTATTTTTGTTTCATTCACTAATTCATATCAATCAAATAGAGTAGATGTACTAATAAAACAGGTAAAAATACAAGGTATTTACAAACTACCATGTTGATTTAGATGTAGACTATGTTTTCACTGATCTGCTTACCACAGATTAATCAAGATAATCCATAAAAATTTTAATTTCATTTCACAGGAGTTCAAGAGGAGTATTGTTCCTCAATAACTCCAGAGCATTGCAGGTAACAAAAATTAACTCGGTGAAGAAACTGTATGACAAATTGATTTTTATCAAATTCCAGAAACAAGTGTATCAATGACTAATGAAGTACTTCATTGGATATCTAGAGTTCATTGTTAATATTATAAAGTAGTCTCAATTGGTATGGTTTTGCTTGAATAATCTGTCTATTCCAGGACCATGCATTTAGTCAACTTGTTTTTACCTGCCTCAGACTACTATTTCACTATAGTAAAAATAGGTATAGTTTTCATATTGTTCTGAGCGGTCACTTTAGAACTTCACATAAGCTCTATACACCAAAGTGTGACAATATACAGAATCTCCATATTTGGAAATTTCAAGCGACTTTAACGCATTATCCACCAATTGCCAATTTGACTGTAACTAATTTTGGTAGATCTTGAATGGAGTATTGAGTCACATTTTATTTTCCTATGATTTAGAATCAAGCTAATACAATGATATCTATAAACAGCTACTAATAGAAACTAGATTTTAACCACAGCCTTCTAGAGTCAGTAATTTTGAAACAGCCATCAATCTGAAATTATTAAAGAGAATTCTGGATTCAGAAACTATACCAAACACAGTAGATTAAAAAAAAAAAAGAAAACATTTTTCCAACTCCTTGGAAGAAGAATCATAATTGATTTTGATTACTATTCAAAGTAAAATAATTATAATGAACCTAGACAAAACTTTTTTTAAATATAAAATTTAAATACGATAGATACCAATCATTACGTGTCTATGTACAAAAAATTTATTTCAGTTAAAATTATTTTGTTACAAAAACTGTTCTATGTCAATTTCAAGGGCTGAACAGGGCATGGATAATTCAAATGCTGATATTACTTCAGGATGAATTATACCAAGTTTACCAATAGGTTTTCCTCGATAAATAATTCTGGCACTTCGTTTTGGGAAGAATGTTTCATCTGGAAAATAAACAAAACATCATTAAATTTATCTGACACGACAAAAAATATATCTAAATTTTAATAACATAATAGAATGATGGAGAGCTGATTTTTTTTTTTTTTAATTTCTATCTGACCAGACCAAATTCGAACCGGTGATGCTAAACTCGAGGTAGCAAAGGTTATGCCACCTTGACATTCTCAGCCACTACTATACCTTCAAAAGTATAATTTAAAGTGAAACTAAAGCTAGAGGAAATTGGTTTTGGGTGTACAGTCATGTAAGAAAAAAAAAAATAATAGGATCGAAACAACTGCTCCCCAAAACTTCTAAAATTAGGAATATTTTATTACCATTATTTATTGTTTTATTTGTTTTTTTATCATTTAGGCATATAAATTATACTAATTTATTTAAGCCTATATTTATAGTACCTTCAGCTCCCTCAAGGTAGTAACCTGCTTCTCTTGTCCAAGGAACTTCCAATAACTGCATAATCCTATCAAGAAGACCATGGATGATTTCAAATCCAGATTTTTTATCATAATAAAGTGCACTTAATCGCCTTACATTCTTAGCTCCAGTTTCTGTAACATATACAATGATGTATCTTTGGCCATCAAACAAAATTGACCATGAAATACTGTTGTAAATATTAACTAGGCAACAATATAAAAAAAAAAGTGCTCAAATTTCCAAGCTACAGTTGTAGTAAAGCCATGTAATATGTTTTCGGAAATCAATAATGAAGTGAAATATGAATTTGTTCCAGTGATACCAACACTAATCAAGTTGAATTTAATGTAAATACACTGCATACAGACAAACTTACCTTCATTAGGATCTAGTAGAACAACATCCGAAATTTCAAACACCTTTATAGGCAATGGAGCACTCTTATTATATGATACTGACTTCAGTAGCCCAGGAATAAGTGTTGTTCTTACCACTTGGAAATCCGATGTTTTCGGATTGTCCACAATTACGACTGATGATTCATCAAAAGGCTGTCTGAGTTTAGATGAAATATCTTCCCTGGAACACTACAATAGAGATGAAGTGATAAAAAAAAAAAAAGTTATTGCTAAAAGCTAAAAATTGTTTTATTAATTCTCTCTCACTCACTCTCTCTCTCTCTCTCTATATATATTATATATATATATATATATATATATATATATATATATATATATATACACACACATACATCATGTACCAGAAATTTTGTTATCTTTAAATTCTTAGAGAACCCCCACATAATAAATTCCCTTACCAATCCAATAGAATAAGTTAACAAACTCTAAATGATCTAGCTTTCATTGGAATACATAAGAGCAATAAAACCAATAAATTACAACTAATTATGTAAAATAAGCTACAACTATTATTGATAATATTACAGGAGATTAAATCTGAAAGTCCACTTACCAAACTAAATGTGAGGACTTCAGTAAATCCTGACTGAGCGATCTGTTGCCTCAAATCATTGGTTAGTTTATTCAATGGTTGCTAGAAAGAAAAATTATATATTTACGTATTAGTTGTAAAGTTTATTTTATGAACAATTTTTTAAATTAAAAATATAAATTGTGTATATCTTTTCTTCTCTTATTTGACATATGTTCTGTCCTTAGAATAATCATGACCAAGCATGATATGCATTCATCTATTTAGGCAATACATAATAACTAAGTATTTGTTAAAAAATAGATGATTATGCATTGTTCAAAAAGGTATGATTGGCACTCATAGAAAGTTCATAACATTCCTGTCACTCAAGATCTTATTCAATGTGAATGCCAATTCATCTTATTCATGAATGCCAATTCTGGTCGGTTTTCTACATAATCAATGTACAATTAATGTGGCTTACTATCACAGACACAGTTGGTAAAACAATAGACAAGGTATGTTCAATAGACATGTCATCCATCTCCATGACAAGGCAAGACTCCACAAGGCTACCTTTACTGAAGATAAATTGAAAGAAACAGGCAGGAAACCCTCCAACACCCTCCTCTTATATTCTAGGCTAGTCCCTAATATGACTCAGAGGAGACCAATTTAATATCAATGAAAAAGGAAGAAGTAATTTGCGATTGGTAGGCAACTCAATTCTAAACTTTTTATGATCAAGTAATAAGCATCCGAATCAATCAAAAAATTGTCAAGATCATGCAAAAGACTGACCTACACATGGAAAAATGTTGAAAGTATGGTTTGAATATAATATTAATCAATTCATTTATGAAAAATAACACTACATGATTATATTTGATATATCCTTGCACTTCAAGTTAGTTTTCAGTTATCAGCACTGAAAAGAATTTTATTTAAATATATTAAGAATGAGATTATTCTTTATTATACAGCGTCAATGGTACCACGATGTTACTGAGAAGATGTATGTTGTTAGCAACTTTAAGAGAGTAGCTCAAGAAACAAAATTTTTCTTTTCAAGTTTATTTATTATCAGCCAATTTTACCCCTACCACAGCTTATAATTTAATTGAAATTAATTAATCCAATAACTTTACAAAGTTTAAATTTATAATAATTTAAGTCTGCACTATTTTATCCAAATGGATATGGAAGGAAAAATTATTAATGTCTAACATCCTATTATCATTTATGCTGTATCAATTCCCTAGAAACTTAAATGGTTAGCTGCTAAGTTAAGTGTTAATGGAGATCGGGGTGGCCGAGCAAGCTAATGTTAATGCAAAACATGCGTTGCCTAGCAATCTGATAAACAGATAACATGATAAAATAAATAAGAGTTTGGGTTGTGGTGTTAGTGGTGGAGGGGGGGGGGAGGGGACTTGGCAATAATCCCCTCTCTCATTGCCTCAGGAAAAATCCAGTATAGACTAAAAGACGAGGAAGGGATGGGAAAAAAAAAAAGGTTAAGGATTAAAGTAGATTTGGATTTGGAACTATTTCGCTATCGAAATGAATTTTTTTCAGGACTAATGTTTACAATAAAATCAATTTTTTGTAATTATTTGAATCAACAAATAAGAAAAAGAGATTCAATTTACTCACCTGTTCGGCAAAACAATTTGTTTTGGGAATTGACTTAGATATGTTGTTATAACCAAAAGCAATAGCAGCATCCTCATAAATATCCACTGGATGAAGAATGTCATGACGAGTAGGTGGGACCTTCACAACAACATCAGAACCACCTGTAGATTTTGATGATAAGCACATCCGAGTCAAAAGGTTGGCAAGTTTACCAGCCTCTTCCCTAAAATTAATAATATTTATATTAGCTTAGTCATATTTGTATAAGTACAAAAAAGTTTAGATATTAATTTGAGAATTAGAGAGGTAAAAACTACTAAAACATTGATACTAATAAATGATATTTACTTACCTGATGCCAATATATTTGTTGAGTTTCTTTATATTGATAACTTCTTTTCTATATTGGAATGAGGGGGTTCGGCGTTTACTACCATCAGGAGAAATAACTTCACATGTTTCGCAAGTGAACTGGTTTTTGCAGTGATATGAAAATGCAGTCACGATAGTGTCCAAAACAATATTAGCCTATAAAATACAAATATGTAATATTGTATAATGTAATAATATAATAAAAGGTATATATGGTAGAGAAAGAAATGATTAATTAAAGGAATGTGGAAAGTAACCCAGTAGATTCATAAAGTTAAATATATAAATAAACTCTTAAGTTTCATCCTATTTATCAAATATTACATCATATTAATACTTGAAAGGAGGCTTCTGAAGCATTAGATGTAAAGGAAAAGAATATGGGTCTATATATGCCTAAATAACTTTCTTGTTAATTCTCTTCTGAATAACCCTAATATATATTCCCTCTCTTTTCGATTCCTCAATCTTCATTTAACCAAAATCACTTTTATTTCCATCACATTATTCCTGATAATTTCATTGCTTTCAAATCCTGAACAAATGACTTTAGTCTTGACGAATTCCAGTAAAAATGATTATCTGTCTTTTTATCAAACTTCCCACTCATTTCCACATACTTAGTTTTTTTCAAAACCACCTATAGCCTGAAAAAAAAGTAGTAGTTGATCCACAGAATAAGATGCTTCCTGCTTCCTTAACCTCTGACATCCCATCAATTTTATCTAAATCTTGTAAACAAAAATTGTTAATTCCCAAATTATTTCATTCCTTGAGCCAAATACTCTTCCTAATCTTCTTCAATCAGTTCTGGTTACTCCACACAATTGGCTAAGCTAAAAATCACTTGAGATCTTTGTTCCTCCATAGACAACAGAAAATCTCTCCTATATGTCTTTGACTTCTCAAAAGCTTTTGACACAATAGATCATTTGGTTCTCCTCTCCAAATTTTGCAATAATTCCCTATTTAATATTGCATAAAGCTGGTTTCTCTTCTATCTGTCCCAAATTGTCATTATTCCTAAAAATCTTCCCCATTATTAATGCTTTTTCCACGAGGTGTTCCTCATGTATTTTTCCTCTTGCCAATATTATTTTCCATTTATTTAAATGATCTATCTAAGGGTACTATTTCGCTAGTTCTGAGCACTACACCGACTACTAGCAGTTGAGGATACATGCGACTTAGCTGGTCGCCACGGAACTTACCTTCTTATCTCATGTAACCTCTTCTAATCACTCATCTCAGCTTAATTACTTGTGTGTTCTTTACATGTCAACTAAAAAAATTGGAGGGCCTGGAAATGTGGTTGAAATAGACGAAAGTTTTTTTTTTAAAGAAATAATCATGAAGGGAGATTGCTCCATGAACAATGAATGTTTGCCAGAGTTTGTCGAGAAACAGATGAGTGTTTCATTGTAAAAGTAAAAAGACAGAAAAGAAATAACTATAGTAGAGTGAATTAAAAATAATATTGAAGAGAGAAATACTATATATTCTAACTGTTAGAAAGTATTCAACATCCAACAACTAAATGAAACAAACTACAACCATTTCCAGGTTTATCACCGGTATAACTTTGTTGATCCTTCAAGTGGAGTCCATTCTTAACACATAGAGCTATTATGTGGCTCAGCTAAGTGGAGAAATAAAAATCACCAAGGAACTGCAAGGCAACATCTGGATTCATATTTATGTGAATTTTTGTGATGGCGGGCTCACAGAGAAGAGGATCTGTTCCTCCCTATTTTAAATAGCATTAAGCTATTGTCTCGAAAAATAAATAAAAGTGTTTTGTTATTATTACATTTCTTTTTTTTCTATTTCAATTTCCATAAATATAAAAAAGAAGGTAGGTATTATCAGTGTCAGAATTAACGGTGTTCAGGTTATAAACAATGCCAGATAGCAGTCCGGCTAACTTACAAGTACCCAGTTGAGCACTGCTTTATTGTAATAGAAAGGAGCATATTTCATTGATACTGCTCGACAGTCTAGGTATAACATCACATCTATACTGCTCCTTCCTGATTGCTCCTAAAGTAGTGAAGCTGTTGGCAGAACAGCGGTCATAGATTATGTTATCATATTGGAGAAGAGTTTTGATGATAACAGTCACCTCATTTCCTTTTTTATTTTCACTCATCTATATATGTAATATATAGTAAGGGAAAGTATTGTGATTGTGAAAATTTCTGAATCTGAGTTTTCAACGGAGAAACATGTTTTGAGGTACCCTGAGTCCAAATAACCAAGTCCTGCAAAATGGTCTGTGTGTCTGTATGTTGGTGTGTGTTTAGTATGTGTTTGTGTTAGCAGTCTAACTCAAAAATAAAAAGCTGTAAGAAACTGATATTTCATATTTAAGATAGATATATGCCTTAGATGTGACAGCAACTTTTTCCTTAAAATCGGCTAACTAGAAGTGTCACATCATATCAACCCTGAAACACATTTTTATAATTTTCTCAAAAATGGCGCTGACGATTTTATATTAAATTCGGTGTATCATTGTATAATGAAGTGGTCTTTAATATCAATCAGATCTTATACCCATTGCTGTCACTTTACAGGGCTTAAACGCCCAATGTTCATATACGTCTTCCCCTCAAGTACCTTTAATATGGTTTATTTTAAATAATTGATCATCTCACATTATTTAGAATTATGAAAAAATGCTAAATATAACTTTTGAAAGAATTTGATAATTGAATAAAGGAGAAAAAAATTAAAAAAACTTATCCAGGTCGAAAATGAATCTCCGGAAATATTGGTCAGAAGGTTAAAATATATTGTTGCATAACGTCTAATATATTGTTGTAAAACAGAGAATTTAGAAAAAACAATATCTAATATAGAAAGTTGTAGAAAGTAACGGAGAGTGAGGAAAGAATAATAAATAATTTTTGAAAACTAATATTATTTAACTTTAATCACATGTTTTAAAGGAAATTAAATTAAATTTACTATCTAAATGTAACATTTAAAATATTTTTTAGTATGAAAAAGTATTTAAAACCCACGGATTCAAGGCAATGACACTGCTTAAGATACTATTTCATTGTACTAGTGTGAAAGAAGTGAAATATAAAAATATTTCATGGATATGTTTATAACCTTAAATATATTTACTGTATTTTGTTAGGGTTCTCGAATAACTATAGGTCTGATATTATATTTAAATAATTAGGTATCTATCGTCCGTTTATTCTGAAAAATCATCATGCAACCTTTTAGAAAATTAAATTAGTGAATAATTTGATGAATTTTCCCTTTGTGATATTCCAACAGTATCTACTTCCAATTAGTGTGAAAACTTTTGACCTGTCTATGACAGACAAGGTAAATCTCTTAATTCCATTTTATCAAACTTTGCAATAGAAAATAACTGTTTAATAACTATTATTCGTACAATCCCTAATCAACCGGTGATATAATAAATAGGACTTTTGTTATTTTAATAGTATTTATGATTTGTTAGCTGTAAGCTTTTAGTTTTATCTTGATTAAAAATGCAATTCAAAAATGTTATAATAGTCCAACATGGCCAGAAAATAATTTCTATTCAAAGTTGAGCGGTATGTGAAAGTTGTGTGTTGCCAGATTTTTTTTCACCATCATTTATGTAAGCTTGAAGTAGCAATAGTATTTTATATAGAAATAGTATCTACTTCCTTCTACAACTGATCCCCACCGGAAATTAGACCATTACCCTCTTTATTAGGAGAGGCCTACAGATTGTAAAATACTTGTAAGAACAGGATACGGAAAAAAAAAATAAAAAAAAATAAGAAAAACAAAACAAAATTTGTTGATACATAAATACAGTAAAAATTATAAAACAGCACAAACCTTTTACAGGTTAAACATAGTTACACCAAGTGCACAATGTTTTGATTTTACAGAGAGGTGATTCAACAAAGTATTTAGTGATTTAATTTTATGAAATGTTACTTGATGACTTTTTGCTATAATCCAATGACACAATATTTATTATTGAAATGATCATACTAAAAATGAGTTCTAAATTTAAAATCAGAGATACACCACCAATTCTTAACATAACATTTCTTTATATTCTTTCTATCATATGGCTGATATTTTTCATTCAAAATATTATAAGAAATCATAATTTTGTAGATGGTGGGCAGACTTGTTAACATTTTATAGTACAAATATAACCTAATCTCATAATTCAACCACGATGGTGAGAATTTTCAGTGAAATACACAAACATAGAGTTGGCAAACCAGAGATGGGAGTCACTGCTGTGGGCAGTACCAGTGAAATAGTACCTTAACCTTATCCTTCCTAACTTCACTCTAAGTATCTTTTTTAAGCTGACAACCTATTAATAAACATTTAATATGCTTCTGAAAATATACTTATGGTATATTTTCATATACAATATGGTATATTGGTATCAATACCTAAACTGGAATAACCACATTTTCCAAATAACCCAAAAATTCATATCAATCCTTAAATAGCTCTTAAGATTCCAAGATTAATTTTTCCGAAGCAACTACCATTTAATAGTTTCCTCTCTTTCTTTCTCCACTTTGTCTACGATGACCTAGTGTAAGGACTATATAATGAGACTGAAAACATTAATGAATTGCTTTATAAAATTTATTTTAGGAGTTCACAGATACCCTTACATATCTCACATGTATTCAGAGCAAAACTGGTTATTTCCTATTCATATCCTTCTAAACAAAAATTCCATCCTATAATCTTGATTAAATCACCTTACATTCTTCAATCAACCCCTTAAATACAGAGATTTCAACCTTCAGATTTGAATACTCCCTCTCACTGAACAGCATTCTTCGAAAAATCCTTAGTAATTCAAGTTACCTCGTTTTCGAATTACCTACTAAACGCCAATCATAAACCTCCCTTATTAACCTATTCCAGCACCATTTCTCCCTCCCTTCAACAATCAATTTTCTGGGTGCATGTAAAGAAGAAATGTCTACTTAGGTTGGTAAATTAGAAGATAAAAATTATGTAAATATGCCTCTATAAAAATGAATAAACAGACCACCTTTAAAATGTAAACTATCAAAACTACACTTTTTTTCCCCCTTCCCTTTCTCACCTTTTAGGCTATGCGGGGTTTTCCCGGGCCAGAAGATTAATGTCAAAACTACACTGGACACTTTTTAAAACTAGTTCATGTATTGAGTAAGGAAGTGGGGTACCTCAGTGGATGAACACTGACTTTCAGAGCTAAAGATCCCAGGTTCGGGTCCAGCTGATGACTAGTAATTTTTCATCAGCCGTGATTGGACCCAGGGGTTAGGAGAATCTCCTCCAGCACATACAGCCCCTATAAAGTGGGTACTCTTACTCTTAGTTAATAAATAATTAATTAAGGGGGACAACCTAGCAGTTGATCGTGATCACCTCGGCCCAATCACCTCTCTGCACAACTGCTGGCCTTATTTCCTGGCCTTACTTCCTTGCATAGTACTGAACCTAAGATACTTTATGGGTTGTAGTAATACAGATTATTTTTTTCATCTATTGAGTAAGTGCAGCGACCAGAGGTCAAAAATAGGTACTTTTAGATATGAAAAAAAAATTATCCTTAATATTCCTAAAAAAAAATAGTATTTATTTTCCAAGGTGGTCCTAGTCAGAGAATAACAGACAAATAGGTTTAGTTTACTTGATTAATTTATAATCCTTAACCGTTCCTAACAAATAGTAACATTAGGAGGATGAAGAATTGATACTGACAACATGATATCTGGTTTAGATGTGTTAAATTTTGAAGTCACTAATCTAAGCCTAGATTATCATCAAAAATCAAATTTTAAACCTTATGTAGATCAGTAGCTGTGACCTCGATAAACACATTCTTTGTATTCAAAGTTATTCTTGAATGATGACCATTTATTATTGGTGGTAGTGACAAAACAACTCCATTACTATCCTTTATTACTGGATAAACTGGACTATCTTTAATAATTGGCAGATACTGTTTCAACTGTGGATGATTCTGCAAAAAAATTTATTAAATAAATTATCAAATAATTTAATATAAACTATCAAATTAAAATAAGTCATGCAATAACTGCAATGAAGTACTAACAGCATACAACTCCATAATACCATGCCCATCATATTCCTTTTCCTGATTTAAAGGTTTAAATTTAATTTGATCTGGAGGAAGGGCATCGTAGACAAAAGGTCCCTGTATTGTATCAAGATCATGAGTCCCTATGGCAACCAAAGTTCTTCTTCGGGCTAAATTTTGATGAAGTTTATCTTGAAGGTCAATAAAACTGGCATAACTATCACTTGTGAATGTAATATCCCTAAGCACAGCAGCTACAGCATAAGGTCGAATTTTTTTGGTCTGAAATAGGCCAACTTTTTTATTATTTTCATTAAAATACAACCAAATGAAAAAAAAAAAAACTTACATCAGACTTAATTTGTAGTGTTTGCATTAACTTTTGATCACTAGGAACTATCGCTTTATAGTTGGGATATTGGATTCTGTAAATTTAACACAACTATGAATCAATGCAGTTATAATTCCATGATACGATAAAAACCAAAGATAAGAAATAATTGCAAAATACTTGTTTTGAAAGACTAGTAAGGCAATAGCAAGTCCTTCCAAACATAGAAGATCATAGCGATTTGCAGGCACTTCAATGCGGTATATTACATCATCTGAGGCATCTTTTGCTACAGTCGCACCTTGCTCCTTTATCAACATTTGCTTTTCACTAGTCTAAAATTAAAATAAAATAATTGATTATTACAATATTGACCTATGTAAATCAAATTTAGGAATTAACACTAGCAGTACCACATCATCTAATTCCAATCCAAAATCGAAGCATAGGAAACTAAACTCTTCTTCACCTAGAATTAAGATTAACAATCAGAAATATGAAATTTGTTTATAATTATGAATCTGATAGGACATACTGAAACTCTGATTCAAGGCTTTGAAAAGAAGATCACGTTTAACGGATATAGTAGGCATGATTTTTCTTCTAATTTCTTATTTATTGATAATTTAAAGAATGAATATAGGTAATAAAACTTAGCAAATCTTGACACGTTTCCGCAACTCAAAACTTATACAGTCTACCTATCTATAACCTTCCAATGTAACCTAGTGTAAATTACAACCTCCAACCACGAGGTTTATGTCAGTTGTAGGTTACTGATCAATTGTGTACTGATTTTAAGATTTAATGTTAATAGTATTAGTTCATGTTGAGATTAATTGATTAATCTGTTTCAAAAAGTAGAAACTAGATCCACCCTGGATTCTTTGTTAGTTTACAATATTTTTTTCAAATGACTTACAACTTTTTTATATATATATATTAATTGAGATATTGTATGCTTTAGTCTAACTTTTTACAACCATGGCACTGGTAAAAGATGAAGAACTTATTGGATTTGGTGATAATTCAGCAGATACTAATAATGCTGACAAAAGACCTAAAAAATCTGGAGGTTTTCAATGTATGGGATTATCTTTTTCTATTCTGAAAGGCATTACGAAAAAGGGTTACAAAGTTCCCACGCCAATTCAGAGAAAGGTAACTCTGATCTACATCTTTTATTATTGTTACTTTATTTTTCTTGAAAAACTAATTAGTTATAATTTTTTTTAGACAATACCTCTTGTAGTAGAAGGAAGGGATGTAGTAGCTATGGCTAGAACTGGAAGTGGTAAAACAGCTTGTTTCCTTTTGCCGATGTTTGAAAAGCTGAAAACTCATTGCACGAAGTCTGGCATTAGGGCAATTATTTTGTCACCAACTAGAGAACTAGCTTTACAGGTATTATGCTTTTTTGTTTTTAAATGTTATTATGTATTCAATAGGTAGCTGTCTGAAAGGAATAAAGAATACTTGTTTTTTTTAATCACTATTACTGTAATCCATAAATACTAAAAGTGTGAATATTTCATTTGATACTACTGTGTTGCTCCTCCTTCATGTGTATGCACAAGGTCTCATGATCACTATACATGGAATTTTGAGAATGGACCAATGTTGACAGGTAGCTGAATTATCTGTTTTGGCCCTAACCAAAAATGAAAATGAATCATGAGGGGATATTACTTTTGAGCGAGCAGAAGTAGAAAGTAGCGATCTAATTAAGGCTGATTTTAATTGAAAAAGATTAGTTGGGAGTTTATAAATTCAAATTAATATATGTCTATTTTAATAAAGGGAGGTTATACCAATGAACCTGTTTTCAGTATTTGGTCTTCTCTGACATGATCTTGTATGATCATTATATCTTGCAGCAAACCCCTCAAAGCTATGCAACACTTGTAAAGAAGTACATTGTTCATATTAAAAACAATTATAAGAGAGGTGGAAATGGCATGCTAACTTTTCAATATTTCATTCATCTTTAAAATAATTTTTAGCTACTACTTAGTTCGCTGATATTACCTAATCTAATCCTTTTAATCAATTCGCAAGCAAATGTCCAATACTAGCATCTCAATATTTGGTGTTTCCACATCCTCTCAAGCCTCTGTTTTCTGATAAATTACTTTCATCAGCTGCAACTCTGTTTATCCATAGATAGCTGTAGTTGTACAGCTGTTCTCATTCCATTTAGACCCTCATCAATTATTATCTTTTATGAATATTAGTATGCAGACCCAGTTTGCTGACTGTGAAAGTGTTAGCTGTACAAAAGAGAATTTCAATTCCATCAAATACTTTTCTCTTCTATCTTGTTAAATACATAAAAGGAAGCATAAACTATGACTGGGAGAATCAGATACTTGCATGAATTTTCAATTTTTAATCATCCGTGAAGGCATTTTGAAGCTGTAACAATAAACAGACAAGTCTTTGAAAAAAATTCTGGTGCATAGTTACAAAGATAGTTAGTGTTAATGAAAAGTGGTAGGGACAGAATTAGGTCACAAGAATGGAGACACAGATGCACCCTGGTCAGGGTCAAGATCACACCATGATTATTATATACCTTTTCATCCATGAAATATCTTTCCATTTTTTATTTCACCTTGTCTCTGTATAAAAGTATTGAGTTTAAAATGTATTTTATTAGTTTTTATAAATGAACATTTTTCAATTTTCAGACCCTTAAGTTTTTAAAAGAACTTGGTAAATTCACTGGCCTACGTTCTATTGTTCTTTTGGGTGGTGACTCAATGGAAACTCAGTTCTCTGCTATCCATGAAAAGCCTGATATTGTTGTCGCTACCCCTGGACGATTTTTGCACATTTGTGTTGAAATGGATCTGAGCCTAAAGAATGTTCAATATATCGTGTTTGATGAAGCAGACAGGTAATTGACTACTTTCATCCATAGCTTAAAAGTCGTATGTCACATGATATCTGCAGAAAATAATTTTTTATTCCTTCATTTTTTTTCTCATGCAGGTTGTTTGAAATGGGATTTGGAGAGCAACTGAATGAAATTGTTCAAAGGCTTCCTGAAAATAGACAGACTCTTCTGTTTTCGGCCACTCTTCCTAAAGTTTTAGTTGAATTCGCAAGAGCTGGTCTATCAGATCCTGTTCTCATTAGGTTTGTTAAGTTTATATTTTATAAATCGTGTGTACTGTTAACTTTTTACAAATTATTCAAAGGTAATACTTTTATAATGTGTAAAAGTTGAACTTATAATAATATTTTAAAAAATAACTTCTTTTAGGCTGGATGTTGAATCCAAAATCCCTGAAACTCTCCAATTATCTTTTGTGAGCTGCCGTCTTGAAGAAAAACCAGCAGCTTTATTATGCCTCATGAATCATGTGATACCTAAAACGGCTACAACAATAATTTTTGCTGCTACTAAACACCATGTGGAGTATTTGCATGCTGTAAGTTATGATTTATAATTGTAATTTTTCATCTGTGTGGGCTTCAAAACGGTTATGTTGGTTTATCAAGATCATAATAATATGATGCTAATTATCCAGACAATTCTTAATTATCTTTCAATAAACTCACCATTCTGGGCTGTTACTTTTCTATTTAGTAATAACTCCTATAAGATCTGAATAAACTTTCCTTTTTATTGATTGCTTATGTTAAAGCTTTGTTTTAGCCCTTTATTCATTGCTACTTTCATTTAAAATCTTATGAAAGCATGTCTTGTGATGTCTTTTTTTTAGTTGGTTTTTATTAGTTGAGGTTGTTAAGGTTTATATTATTTATTTATCTTGTTTTTTTAACAGACATTTTTTATTTAATGGCTCCATTGTATTGGGTTGGCAAATAAGTCCTTTCGGTTTTTCTGTTTATTTTTATGTCACTATAATACACATCTTATCTGACGAATTAACCCCTAAGGTGGGTTGTTTATCCTGTTGTTAATATGTCAACAACTATATCTGTAAACTCTTTTTGAAACTATCTTAGTATTGTGTTTGCTATTGCACTGTGAATATGGAAGAAAATATTCATTATCAGCATATTTTGTTGTATTATTTTTAAAAAAGTAAGTGCGCTGAAAAAGGTCATAGAAAAATTTGCAGTGTTTATGGGGACGATGTCTTAACCAAATGCACCTATCAAAATTGATTTGCCAAATTTCACTCAGGAAATTTTGACATCAATGATGCTCAACGGTCTGGTCGCCCACTTGAAATTGAAATGAGCAATGTTAAGGCCATTGTTGATCAAAATCCCACCCAATCAGTGCAAGAGATTGCTATGGCCCTAAATGTGTCACACACAAGCATATAAAACCATTTGTACATGCTTGGCTAGGTTTCCAGTCTTAATGTTTGGGTCCCTCACATGATTTTTTTTTCGAAAATCACAAAAACTGCTGTAACTTCAATACGACTTTAGCTATCTACAAGGAATTTAGGGTCACATGAACTACAGAAAATGACATCAACAGGACCTTCTTAAACAAACTATAAATGGAGATAAAAAATAAAATCCTATAAGGAGTTTTTGTTCATTTATTCCTTATGTAGGCATTAAATCAAAAAACCTTTCATACGGCTTTGAAGAGCAATAATTCAGCCAACGGATATAGTAACATCGAATTTGGAGAACATTCTGAAGAGTTATGAATAATCGGAATGGTGTTATGTTCCACCAAGACAACGCTAGGCCCCACACCTCGTTGGTCACTCGCAATAAATTATTGAGCCTTGGAAGGGACCTATTACCCCACCCTCCCTATTCACCAGATCGAGCTCCATGTGACTACCACTTATTCTGAGCAGAACTCCATGAATGCGATAAGCTGTAATCGTTTGGTGGGCGGGATGGCGAATGGGCTAAGGCGTGTGCACAGCACCACCGTTGCCCATCAACCTGATAAATCAATCAAATGTTATAAAAAATAGACACGAGTTCGCGTCCCGGTGCCGAGGGAGTCTTTTAAATCCTCGCCCACACTCCCTGGCCTGGGGAAACCCCGTATAGCCTTAATGACGAGGAACGGGAGGACCGAAAAAAAAGAAAAAGAAAAAAAAAAAAGCTGTAATCGTTTGGTTCTCTTATGTAGATGATATCCAGGGACCACGTGGTTTATAATAACCTTGCATACCTCTCTATCCTGTTGTTTTTTATAGGATAGGGTCATTAGCCCTGTGCCCAACCCCCAAAATCTGGAGGACCAAAGGAGCTATATTATTAGACACAGGTGTCGCTCTCACCTTCCTGTAAATCTCAGAGTTGAGACGTTACCGTCTCCCTACAGGAATCATGGTCTAAGCAATCGAGTAGGGAATACACTTATCTATTAATTATTTATACTTTTTTGTTATTTAATCCCACAAACGGGGTTTAAACTCAGCATAAAATTTTTGTAGGCGCCTTAACTCACTCGACCACCATAGCCTATTCCTTACTTATGGATTTATTGATTCATTGAAAATCTATGATGTCAGATTACATTAGGGATGTTTAACAGGATGGCTACCAGACAGTTGAAGTGAATTTCCCTAACCAATATGTCTGGGTGCGCAAATATTAATAATGTATAATTTTTAACTAAATTCTCTTCAACATAACTGTGACAGTCATCTACCGATCAATCTACTATTATAACTAAATTTACTTATTATACATGTAAGAAAATTGACAACAAAATGATTTCAGTAAAAACATTCAGTCTTCTAAATAAGAAATATGTTTTAGAGGGAGCATTATTTAAACATGAATAAGTTTTTTTTATTTTAGAAAACTAAACTTTTACTAACTTATTTTTATTTTATTTTCATAAACTGAGAGGAGGTAAAAGTTGTTACTTGACCTAAAAAGCTCAACTTTTCTCTATCAAAAAAACAAAGTGTGCTATGGGCGATTCTTATTTTAATGAAGTTTATCATAAGTAGTTTCTTTATTACTATTAACAGCATAATAATTATCTATACCACACCAACTATGATATTTCTTGTAAATAAATGCTCTTTTAAGGAGGGCCACTGGTTGGACTAATAAATGCTTGTCAGCGAATGAATTGCACTGACCGTAGCCACATGAATTAATTAAAAATATAATGCAAAATAAAATTTAAATAATATATAGGTGCTATCGTTTGCCAATATTAATATTAACTGTCAAAAACGAGAAGGAAATTCAACCTTGTCTGAGCTATCGCTAAAATCGAGTTTTTGAAGCAATACTAGTTATTGACTATCGGATATTTCTAAACTGAATTGCCGGTTGCTGAGTTTAGAACTGAATAATTTTTTTTTCTTTTTAAGTACTAAAACTAACATAAACCACTCTAGATGGCATCACAGCTTGCTTTCTGAGACATTCGCTGTGTTGGCCGAGGCTATTGTAATTTTTATTGTTAATAATTAAGGATTTGGAGTTTCCATTTATTTTTCTGCCGATAAATTAAGGGAAGAACATAACTAATATTAAGTCAAATACAATGGGTGCGTACAGTTGGAATAGTTATATGATTTTCCAATTTACTAGTGTTTGCCAAGTGGTCAAAATTCTACTATAATCATTATTGGACATTTGTGAAAAACATGAATGAATTTACATTTTCCAATATATTTTTTTTTACTCTTTTATAATCATACATTCACTTTTATATGTAAAAAAACAAAAAAACAGTGCAGTACTATTTGTGTACTTTTTCACTTATTGGTATGTAAAAATGTGAATCTATCATTACTTTTTTATAAGACTGAAGTTGTTTTTTTTTTTAAACACTTTGGATTTAACGTCCGTTTAGACATTTCACAAATTATGGGAAACACAATTATCTATTTTAATTAACCGTGACATAATTGCTAAATCAAACTATTTACTTTATTTCTCTTGATACCGACAGCAGATGGAAAATATCAAGAACAAGAAAAAAAATTACTAGCTAAGTAAAATAACCATTTATATATATTTTTTTATTTGTTACAATAAATTAGGCCATTTTCACCAACATTTTATTATTACGCATCAATTTAACGTTTCGACCATACTAAGGGTCATTTTCAAAACTGGAAAATTATAATAACATTATTAGTTAATGTTCAGCAATTATAAAATGAATTTCTTATTATATTTAATTGAATTGTCTAACGTTCTATGTCAAATTATTTCCGATATACTTAAATTTATATAAAAATATACATAAAGTATACACTTTTTATTTAAAAAACCCTTACATGTACGTAACTATAAACATTAAAACTCTAACAAATAAAAAAAAAATGCAACATATGACAAACACCAATTTGATTTTAAAAATGCCAAAATAGTATACAAGGAAAGTAGTAACAATAAAAGAAAGATTATAGAGTCTATATATATTACAAAAAAATTTACATAATTCTGTTAACAACCTTACAGATGTGGACAATATAAATACTTTTTACGCAAATATAATTAATAAAATTCGTCTATAATAATATAATAATCCACCAATGCAAAACATTAGAAGGAAAATCCCTCTCCTTTTGACTATCCCCACCAGGACGATATAAGTCAGTCCCTCCAGAAATGACGTGGGTGAAGCCCCTATAAAAATTGACAAGTTAATGTTCACTGAACTTATTAATTAGAACATTAAGGATGAACATATTAGGAGGACTCATCAAGGTAATAGTCATTTGTTTTTAATTGTTAGAGTTTTAATGTTTATAGTTACGTACATGTAAGAGTTTTTTTAATAAAAAGTGTATACTTTATGTATATTTTTATATAAATTTAAGTATATTGGAAATAATTTGACATAGAACGTTAGACAATTCAATTAAATGTAATAAGAAATTCATTTTACAATTGCTGAATATTAACTAATAATGTTATTATAATTTTCCAGTTTTGAAAATGACCCTTAGTATGGTCGAAACGTTAAATTAATGCGTAATAATAAAATGTTGGTGAAAATGGCCTAATTTATTGTAATAATAATAATAATAAAAAGGCTTAGCGAACCCGAAGGTTCGATGCCGACACCACCAATCGCTTATTGCACACCTCCCTCCATCGTTCGCCGTCCAAACCCAGTCCCTTCAGATCGGCTTTAACGCAATCTTCCCACCTTCGCCTCGGTCTACCCCTCGGACGCTTACCATTTGGCACAGCAAATATTAACCTTTTAGGAATTCTCTCGTTACTAAGTCCAACAACTTTACAACCCCATTTGATTCGCCGCGATGAAATTACCTCAATTATATTACCCGGATATAGTTCACGCAATTCGGCGTTGTGTAACCGTCTGAACTCTCCGGTTAACTCATCCTTCTTCGGTCCGAATATTCTACGCAATACTTTATTTTCAAAAACCTTAAGACGCTGCTCATCCCTTAATGTAAGCGGCCAAGTTTCGCACCCATAAAGAACTGTAGGCAAGATAATTGTTTTATAGATTCTAATTTTTAAGTTTCGGGACAAGAGGCGCGAACTAAGTAGTTTTGTCACAGAAAAATAACAAGCGTTTCCCGCCTTCAGTCTAACCTTAATTTCTTCTTCAATTTCGTTTTTTCTAGTTATCGTAGAACCTAGATACATAAACTTATCTACCTGTTCAAACATATTACCATCTATATCGATATCACCAGTAGTACTGCCATTTTTGCAGCTAACCATATATTTTGTTTTATCCACGTTTATTTTGAGTCCTAAAAAAATAAATTTATTGTAACAAATGTCCTAATTTATTGTCCTTTATTTTTTATTTATTGTCCTAATTTATTGTAACAAATAAAAAAACTTCAAGACACCAAAATTAGGAAAAATGAACAGAAGACATTTATATATTTGTTTTTCCACATTTTGGGAAATATCTAAGCGCACCTTTAGAGTTTTTAGAAAAAATGATAGAATATAGCGACAGTTTCCTCTGGATGAAGGTTATAACGACGAAGTTTTGCTCTTCAAGTTCATTATAAAGGATATCCACTGTATATTTATTTCCGATTTGAAAAAAAAATAATAGGTACTAAATAAATTCCGTGACTTTAACTATTTTTCCCTGTTTCTCTGACTTTTTCCAATTCTCTACATCAGTTGCCATCCTGTTTAATCTCAATCGAGACTAGTGTGAGACAGAGTGTGAAGTCTTCAATAGAAATAGACAAATTATTAAAATATACTGAATTGATGCAATTATCTTTTTTTTTTTTTCACAGATGCTGAGAGAAAATGGTATTCCTAATACCTACATATATTCTGACCTTCATCCTAGCGCAAGAAAAATTAATGTTGCGAAATTCCAGAATGCTCAAGTCAAAGTGTTGATTGTTACTGATGTAGCTGCCAGGGGGATTGATATTCCTCATTTAGATTATGTAATCAATTACAATTTTCCAGCTAAAGTGAAATTATTTGTTCATCGAGTAGGTATGTTTCCCAAGCACATTTTATATTTTTCTGCTGTTTCGTCTTTCTTTTTTTACAGAGATCTTATATGTTTATTTTGTTAGGTCGTTGCGCCAGAGCCGGTCGTGAAGGGCATGCAATCTGTTTGGTAAGCGGAGATGAGTTGTGTTACATGCTCGATTTATTGTTATTCTTAGGACGTCCTCTTCTTCTGGCTGGAACTGATTCTGAAAGCAACAAAGATTCAAAGAATGTTAGCTTAGGAAGGATTCCTTTAGATTATCTGGATCCTCAGCTTTCCTCTCTTAATGCTGCACATTCTTCTGGTTCAGAACTGGTATTATTTTATTTACTTATACTATATTTCTATTGAATGATTATTTTTTTTTGTAATTTAGAATTAGTAAAAGATGAATTATAGGTGAAGTTGATTGGGAATAAGGTCAAACAAGAATATACATGTATAGGGATGGCCAAGAGAGGGTTTCATGGCGCAGGCTGTGCCATCAAAACTTTTGAAGGGGGTACATTGTTATAGGGTTTTTAGTTTGTGTGGGTCACATTGCGATGGGGTTATGAATTTTTGGAATGAAAATTTACAAACCATGGGTCCAGAGGAAAAATAAACCTAAACACAGTAGTATGTATAATTGTATATAAGATCTACAATTTTTCTAATTCTACTTTCACTTGCAATATGTTAAAAAGAGGACAGCAATAAGCGGACCCTACACGGTCATTTGGAATTGCATTCCAAGGCACTAATGACGTTCTGAATTATCGTGTAAGGTAGTGAATGAAGTACTGATGGTGGTGTGTGGCAGATTTTTTTAACATCCGGAAATCAAAGGTTCATTCACGAGAAGTGGAGGGGATTTTCAACTATTTCTTCTTTAAATAGGTAAATTGTCAAGTAGGCAATAAATTGAAAAAAAAAAAAAAAAGAATTGGAAACTTCACAATTTACTTATAGAAAAAAAAATCTTTAACTGTTGTGTTTACTTGTCATTAATTTTTCCATTTTTCTTAACAAATTGATTATTTTCGCAATACTTTTCCTAAATTTTTGTATGTAGTTGACTTATATTTTTTTAACTTTGGTCTTAACGATTTTCAGGCACTAGGAAGTAATTATTATATCTCCATTTTTCTCTTGATGCCCAATATTATAAATGACAATGTCCAAATAACCATATCTATGCTGTTTCTTTGTTTACAACTGAGCTAAATTGGCTTCAGCAATGATAAGTAATGATCATTAATGATTGAACGTGTAGGGGTCTTCATGATCGAAGCGATCCCGAGCAATCTTTGTCATTCTTGTGACGTTCATTCATGAATTACCGTGTAGGGGCCGCTATAAAGTAAGGGAGGAGAAATATTCAGACGCCATCAACCTTGAGGAGAATGGGTACCCCTACACACATGTAAATTTATTTTTAATGTGTGCTGACATTCCAACCTAAGTTGTTGGCCTTCATCAAGACTATGTATAATTGGTGTGGGCTAATGTGTGTGCAAATCACGTGTTACTCTGCAAACATCCACATGATAAACCGAGCTTTATAAGATGTAAAAAATTTCAACTTAGCAACACAGTGCCGGGGACTTTTAATTCTACCATTAATCTCCCTTCCTTTCCCCTGGTCTTTTTTGTTCTTTCCTTCCTCGTGGGACTTTTGGATTTTCCTACCTTTTACATTTCCACATGATTCCTCTTTCCTTATCCATGTTTAAAACTCTCCTATTCCAATTCCTCTTCACAAATCAATCATTAGCTGGCTAAATTTATATTGTGTTAAAAGGCTTTATTTTTATTACACATTAAACATGTGTTTGCTGTCTATATTAAAATAATTTCTTTCTATATGAAGTTACTTCATTATTTTGTCATCTTAGGCTCATTTTAACTAATCTGGAATCCATTGCTCACTTTTTTAAAGTTATTTCCATTCTGTATTTTTGTAAATAGATTACTTTTTTAAAATTTATTTGTTTGTTTTTTACTAGAAAATTATGGTGTTTTTTTTAATTTCTTAAGAGGTTTTGTCCCAGAATTAAGTTTCTATATCTGTTTTATCTTTTTCTTTATATGTTTGATTTTTTATTATTATTTTTTTTTTTTTAGGATAGCTTAAGAAAAGTAAGTGAAAATGCTTATAAACGCTACATACAATGCAGAAGTGGGGCATCAATGGAAAGTGTGAGGCGAGCAAAGGAAGTTTCTCTATTGCATATTGGGGACAGTTCTCTTTTTGATGGAAAAGAAGTTGCAGGAAAGAGCCAGATTTTAACTGGAATCAAGAATTACCGACCAAATGGGGTATGTATCAAATTTTTAGTTATGAAAGGTTGCTCCCACTTTACTCTTCCAGTCCCTCCCCCTCCTCTTCCACAACTGGGTATTCAGTTTGGGGGCGGGGTGGCCGAATGGGCTAAAGTGTGTGCACAGCTCCGCGAATTGCCTGGCACCGTATAACAGATTTTGGGAAATTAAAAAAAAAGTTGCGTCCTGGTGCTGGAGAGGATTTTAAATTCCCCGCCCTCACCCCCCGGCCTGGGAAAATCCCATATAGCCTAAAAGGCGAGGTAGGGAAGAACATAAAAAAAAATTCTAATAAGCATCTTCACTCAGAGAAACGAGCCATAATTACAGAGAGTGTGTGAAAATAAGTGTTGTTTTTTAAAATCTCACTTTCATGATTTCCCTCATTCAAAGTGTAACTCATGTAATGTGTCCAACACATTCTGTAATTTTAGCTATTGAATAGTAGTACGCTGGTTTTTGATGTTACATAGAATTTGTTTTATAAAAAAAACAGTTAATTATCTTTACTGAATATTTAATAGTTGACCGTTGCAGGGGTGTATTTTACTAACTGTAAAATTGTTTTTGCTATTATTTCAGACAGTGTTTGAGATTGGAGTTTCATCAAATTCTGAATTGTATACTGTTATGAAAGCTACACGTCGAAAGCATAAAAATAACATTGTATCGTTTCATCAGAAAGTTCAAGAAATACTCGAGTCCAAGAAAGGTAATACTATTTATTTTTTAACTACCATTGGAATAACTTCTGATTTAATAGAACAAGCATTTACTTTTTATTTATTTAGTGATCCACATATTTATAATTAATTTAATGTTTATATATATATATGTTTATATATATGTATATATTATTTTTTTTATTTCTGAACATATCTTATGATTCTGAGGATTAAGACCCTTTATGGGTTGTTAGTGGTACTGGTATCTTTTTATTTTTATATATATATATATATATTTTTTTTATAGCAACTTCTGAAAAACCAGAAATAAACTTAGAGCAAAGTGGAAATGATGATATAGCAACAACATTCAGTCAGGTGATATCTGGAAAACGGAAAAGGGAACCTTTTCTTGGAAATAGTAAGAAACAGTGTACAATTGACAAAGAAAACTTCATACCCTATAAGCCATCAGACCAGGCTATTGAAAAGGAGTAAGTAGGTCATAATTTAATTATTGTTTCACTTATGTGATTATTCTTTTTTACTTTCCTACCTATACTAGGTAAGGAAAGTATTGGAATTGGATAAAATTTCCGACATGCGGTCCAAGCCTGATTTAACCATAAATAATTACCCTGCCAGTTAAAGAAGGTTTTTCTTTATGTTTTTGCCTTATACATATTAGTTATTTTGTAAATTAATGAATATAAACTTTAAACAACTAATTAAATTAACATTTAAAAAAAAAAAAATAATAATAATAAGGGCTTAGCGAACACGAAGGTTCAATGCCGACACCACCAATCGCTTGTTACACACCTCCCTCCACCGTTCGCCGTCCAAACCCAGTCCCTTCAGATCGCCTTTAATGCAATCTTCCCACCTTCGCCTCGGTCTACCCCTCGGACGCTTACCATTCGGCACAGCAAATATTAACCTTTTAGGAATTCTCTCGTTACTAAGTCCAACAACTTTACAAGCCCATTTGATTCGCCACAATGAAATTATCTCAATTATATTACCCAGATACAGTTCACGCAATTCGGCGTTGTGTAACCGTCTGAACTCTCTGGTTAACTCATCCTTCTTCGGTCCGAATATTCTACGCAATACTTTATTTTCAAAAACCTTAAGACGCTGCTCATCCCTTAATGTAAGTGGCCAAGTTTCGCACCCATAAAGAACTGTAGGCAAGATAATTGTTTTATAGATTCTAATTTTTAAGTTTCGGGACAAGAGGCGCGAACTAAGTAGTTTTGTCACAGAAAAATAACAAGCGATTCCCGCCTTCAGTCTAACCTTAATTTCTTCTTCAATTTCGTTTTTTCTAGTTATCGTAGAACCTAGATACCTAAATTCATCTACCTGTTCAAACATACTACCATCTATATCGATATCACCAGTAGTACCGCCATTTTCGCAGCTAACCATATATTTTGTTTTATCCACATTTATTTCGAGTCCTAGTTCTTTACCGGCTTTCATTAACATTGTCGTATTTAGTTTTATAGTTTCAAGGTCTTCGCTTAACAGTACCAGATCATCCGCATAGCCCAGCACGGATGTTGTCCCACCCAGATCCAACCCTTTCTCGGTAAGCATTACCTCCCTAATGGCATGTTCTAATGCCAAATTGAACAGGACAGGCGAAAGGGAATCCCCCTGTTTTAAACCCGAACGAACCTCAAATGTTTCGGATAGATTATTACCGATTCTAACTTTATTGAGTGTCTCCGTCAAGCACATCCTGACTAGATTTACTAATTTTTTAGGAATCCCCTGCTCGATTAGAATATTATACAGTTTCTGGCGGTCAATAGAAGCGTAAGCCTTTTTAAAATCTATATATAGCTGGTGAACAATACCGTTGAACTCCAATTTTTTCTCTAATATTTGCTGTAAAGAAAATATTTGATCAATAGTCAAACGATTCCGTCTAAATCCGCATTGGTAGTCTCCGATAATTTCCTCGGCGTATTCCGTGATTCGACTGGTTAAGATTAAAGTGAATATTTTATAACATACCGGAAGGAGTGAAATTCCTCGATAGTTATTACAATCCGTCCTCGCTCCCTTTTTGTGAATCGGAATAAGAATAGATTCTTTCCATTCTTCAGGTAATTTCTCATTCACCCAGATCTTTTTAACCAACCGATGTATTTTAGAAACTCCAGCTTCCCCGCATGCCTTAATTAGTTCAGTAGGAATATTATCAGTTCCCGCTGCTTTATAAGATTTTAATTTTCCGATAGCTAATTCAACTTCCTCTTTACTCGGTTCTTCTATCAACGGTTCAGCACTCTGGTACTCAGAAGGAGGACACAGATCATAATTTCCCGTATTTAAAATATTGTCAAAGTGGTCCTTAAATTTATTCAATATGTCAACCGGATCGGTCAGAATATTGTTATTATCATCCCTAATTCCAGACGTTACGGGCCCTACATATTTACGTGATCTGTTTATACCTTTGTACATGTCTCTTACGTTATTTTCGATTCTATTAGTTTCTATTTCAATTATTTTATTTTTAAGATACTCCCTTTTTTTATTTTTGAGCAATTTTGTCGTTTCGTTCTTCGAGGTTCGGAAGTATTCCAGATTGTCTTCGCTAGGATTATTTAGAGCTTTTAATTTAGCGGCTTTTCATTTTTCGCACACGTTTAAGCAATCTTCATCAAACCACGGTTTGTTATTCTTATTTTCCTTTTTTCCTAGACATGAGTTACCGACCGCTTTAATATTATCCCTGATCTCTATCCATAACTTGTCAATATCCTCGTGGTCCTCCTCAGGAAGCTCTAAAGCTTCAAACCTATTCTTAACATCTAGCTCGAAATGGGTTCTAATTGATGGATTTTTTAATTTTTCCAAATTAAAATTCTCAAAATCGAAACGGTTTTCTTTTCTCTTTTTTATATTAAGTTTTTGTCGAAGTTTCGCGATTACTAATTCATGATCCGACCCACATTCTGCTCCGCGATAAGACCGTACATTGATTATACTGCTTTGCCAGCTATGTTGTATCAAGACATGATCGATTTGATTTCGTGTTTGCGAATCCAGTGATGTCCAAGTATATTTATGAATATCCTTATGTTTAAACGTTGTACTTTTAATTATCAGGTTTTTCGAGATAGCAAAGTTTATCAGACGGATCCCATTATCATTACTATATTCGTGCAAACTTTCTTTACCAATCGTCGGAATATAAACTTCTTCCCTTCCTACCTTTGCGTTCGCGTCACCTATAATTATTTTCATGTAGTTTCGCGGTAGTTTATCAAAAACCCATTCGAGTTTATCGTAAAATTCACTTTTGACTTCATCGTCACTGTCTTCGGTCGGACAATGTATGTTTATTAATGCGATTTTAAACCAATGTCCCTGAAATGTAGCTACCGAAATTCTATCACTAAAGAATTGTACGTCCCTCAAAGCGGATAGTAATCTACTCCTAATTTGGAACCCGGTACCCAAACAATGATTCCCGCTTCCTCCGTACCAAATAGTGTACTTTCCTTCCCTCATCCAGCCCTCCCCTGGCCAGCGAACCTCTTGCAGAGCCACGGCATCCAAATTGTACCCATTCACCGATTTTAGCCCCCCTGCTGTGTTTAAACTCCTTACGTTCCACGTACCAATATTTAAATCCCTATATTTCAACTTAGGCCATGAATCCCCTAAAGCAGTCCCCACCCGGAGACCCGAACGGGGGACTAGTTTACTTCCGGATAATGAGCGTTTTACCTTAGGGAGATCCATGACTATTTGTGGTGTTTGGTGAACTGAAGATATGTGAGTAGGGCTTTCAATCCTACGTCACACCCTCCAGCAAGTCTGGTGGGCCCCTACCTCCAGCAAGTCTGGAGGTCCCCTCCCTCCAGCAAGTCTGGAGGGCCTCTCTCATTGTTGGTCAGAGAGTCCATCGGGCTTAGCCGGGAGGAATTTCCACCGACCATCCCCACATCCGCCACCCATGGGACACTCCCCATACGCGGTAATGAGCCCGCGCGAGGCAAAAAAAAAATAATAATGTTTCTAAATTCTCAAGTAGAAGTACTATTGCAAATAAACGTTAGCCATAATTAAATGGTTGTGTTTTTTATTATATTAAAACTATATCCTATAGATTTTCAAGATCTCTCATTTTTTTCTAGGCTTGCAGTTAATAATTTCACAAGAGAGGCTAATGCAGTTGGAGTGGATCTGACTGGTGATACTGAAGCTGGTATGTTAGGAGCAACAAAGCAAAGGAAGGTGTGGGATAAGAAGAAAAAACGAATCGTTACAGTTGGAGGTCAGAAGAAAGAGGGAAGAATTAAGTCAGAGTCAGGTGCATGGATTCCTGCATCCTATAAATCTGGACGTTATGCTGGGTGGTTAGAAAAGACCAAAACACTCTCGAGGATAGAAGAGGAGCAAGAAGATGAGGGCCCTGTCCAAAATAGTTAGTATTTTACTTTTTATTACAAATTTTGAATCTGCTTTAAGTTCATAGTGTGATATAATTATATTTAGTAAATAACTGTGCCCCAGAGGTCAAGGACACTATGTCCATTTTTTTTATTATATAATTTGGTGACATGAAAAAATTTTAAAGTTCAAAGTAATGGAAAATTGGTACCCCTGAACAAATACAAAAATGTGACATGGTATCCTATACCTCCCGGGCACAGAACTGAAATAACCTTCATTTGGATAACATAAAATGAAGGTAATTTTTTCTTTTTATCCTGTCACTAATACAAAAAACTTGGTTTATTGAAATACGTCATGTAATTAAAATGAAATTTAAACCTCATCACCATTTTACAAGTTACTTGGTAAAAAACAAAATTTAATCTTTTTGGTACAATACTGCTTTGATAAGTTTTATTGTTTATTGATTTTGAACTGAAATTTTATTTTCCAAGATATTTTCATAATTTTATTACTGATAAAAAATATAGTAGAAATCAAGAATAGTTATTGTTACAAAAAGTTCCATTTATATATTTAATATTGTTTTCATTATACCATCGTTCTTGCTTTTTTAGTTAAACGAAAAATCCCACATACTCGTTGGGCCAATCATAATTTAAAGGTTGAAATGAAAAAGAAGTTGGAATTAAAGAAACCAGAACAAATAGCTAAGGCCAGAGAACAATTGGAAAGAAAGCAAAGGCGCCATGGACGTCACAAAAAAAAAGGAAGAAGAAAACATTAAATTATTATGTTTATTTATTTTTAAAAAAAATTGTAAAATATATGTTCTTTTTCGTAATATACTTCATTTTAATGGTGCCATGATTCCCACTGTATCTGATCTAATGATATTTAATGATCAATATGATTGATTTTAACCAAATTTAATTTTGTTTGCTAATTTAAAAAATATTTGTATATAAGTAAACTCATAATAATTATTCTTATAGGTTTTAATAAAGTCAGAACTTATTTTAAAATGCAAAAACTGAAACATTTGCACTCATAAGTTAATTATGATTTATTTAAATAAACTAAATCTGCCATTTTGCCAAATATTTTTATTTGATTAGTACAGCAATTTTTTTTTAGAAACAATGTTTGAAGTTAATAAAAAAATCAATAGGTGTAGGTAATCTGAACTTAGAGAGAATGATTTTAACACCTGTTGCCAATTGGCAGGGTTGTATTTTTCCCCTATTTAGAAAGTAACCATTTGATAGTGCTTAAATCTGGTGGTTCTGACTTTTTACCCTGTTGTTTATGATGCCACAATGAATTAAACAAGTATCCCATTTCCAGCACTTTTAATTTTGGTGATTTTGATCCTCAAGAAGTAGGTTTAAGATAATAATCGTTTTCAAAGTATAATGAATTTGCTCTAGACTCAATATTTTGCAAACTACATTTATTCACAATATATTACTTTATTTCAAACTCGTACATTTTTAGAAACCTTTTGTTCTGTGGGAATTTACATCCTGTATGCTATGGGCGACAACCTAGATAGGCACAGATCATGAGGGGTACTCTCCACTTGTTAAGAATTTAAAAATATATATGTACAAAACATATTAAAATAATTAATTTTAGCCAATTAATAAAGCAACTCTATAAGAGAAATATTGAATGAATTAAATTCAAATATTACAGAACATAAAACAGCTTGTGAAATAAATTTTATTTTTTGGTGGGGAGATGACATTGTCCGGGGGCACCAAATGTCTAAGGTAGGCACTGCTGTCCACAATGCATTTTTCTCCAGGATACAGCGTACAATGTTGATTCTTGGGTTGTGGAATCCTCAAGTGCGATGCTAAGCACATTGTTTTTTTTCCAGCTACCACCTTGTTGCCTTTTCTTGAATACGGAGAAAGTGTTATTTACATTTTTGCATGAGGCCCCACTGCAGTGGCTGCAGACTGAAGACCACTTTAGCCCTCTCTTCCTATAGCTTTCCAAAACCCTCTGGCATATACATGACATCATCCGCAAAAGATATTGTAGAATATCTTCTTTGTTCATCATTTTGAATCTGAGGTCTTTTGAGGTTAATTTCTAAGCAATAGTGTAGATATCAACCTCAAAAATATCATCGTTCTTTTTTTCTTTTTCATCCTACCCTGCTTATTAAACACTACGGGTGTTAACAGCAGTGGGGTGTTATCATGTCTACATAAAAACTTACGGCTATAGGTAAAAGCTATTCAACATTACATTTTGTGCTGTGTCCTACTCCTGAGTTTGGCCATCATCCTCTTCTTTCTTTCCTATCTCCGGCGGTCCCCCTGGTACAATTTATTCTTTCTGTCTGAAGGAGTAGTGGACTAGATATACAATTTTCTTCTATACAGATAAAAAATCTTTAAATCATGGACAATTTCCCTTACTAATGAGTTCTTGTTCTTCAGTTTAACATAGGACAAAGTTTCCCTCATCAGTTTGATCCTGAGTGACTCTTAACCAGTACAGACTACGATAATGTGTTCATCTATTCTTTGTGAGCCTCTTCTAGAATATATATACGGGCATTGCCTCGCGATGTGTCCCTCAGTCCCGCACTCAAAACATTTCGTGCGGGGACACTGTGCCACCAAGTGTCCACTCTTTCCACAACCATGGCATTTCCTATCTTCTTTCCGTTGGCTAACCCTTGCTCTACCTTGCCCTGGTCTTCGTTCCGCTCCCGTGGTCTTCTCTCTCCCGTTGTATGTGGACTCTCTCCTTCTCCAGTCCATTGGTGTACTCCTAGGTCTCCTATATACCACTCTGTTCCATCCAACATGGCATAAGGAGATTGATGTTCTTTCAATACGCAACTACCTCTACTCAAAAACCCTCATGCTCTCTGAGACTCAGTAGTGTGGTATGAGCCATGGGTTGCTTCTAACCGCGAACCGACGGTAGATCTGCCAATCCTTCCCTCTTCATCTGGTGCTCAAACTTAAACCGCAATAGGTACTCCTCCGGCAAGAATCTACACTGTCTCATTACACTGTTCTATTCAAGAAGAATAGACTGGCGACGATCCGCTGATGGCTTTTTTGCGTGTCACCGGGGCATACAGAACAGTGTGAAATGAGCAGTGGAGTTGAGATTTTACTTGTGTAGGTGTTAACTTGGTAAGATTGAAATTCCTTTTCCATACAATCCTAGCAAGTAGGTGATAACGCGGTTCTGGGTGCCAGGATTGCCACTATAGAGATCAACCATCCGCTACCTATTTAGATGTGGAATTGGTAGTTCTATAAATAAAAGATTTATTTTGGATGTCCAAGACCACCATTTATTTTATTTTTTTGGACCATGGATATTTTCCATGTGATTAAAGCTGGATAGCCATGGACGGATTTGATACTCAAAGGACAGTTTTTAACATAGCCCTGGAGCCAGGGCCCAAAAATCGACCTGATCGCTGGCGAAGGTTTGATTGTCAAAAGTGACGAAAGTGTATTTTATTCTGAGTAGAAAAAACCTTGTCTGGCGTTCCAGAGCCAATGCTTTAAAAAATGGCGGCTGATTTAAAGAATATTATGCCAGTAATTTGAGGATCGAAACGGGAAATCCCTTGCGAAAAATGGAATTATATTATATTCACCCTCAGGAATATAATGCAAAAATCATGGGACAATGATGAAAACCTGTACTTAGCCTTCCTCGACCTTCAAGGAGCATTTGATTCTGTCCCAAGAAACGAAATATGGGAAACACTAAGAGTAAAAAATGTTCCTAGAAGCCTGGTTGAGGCCATTAAATCCATATACCAAAATCCAAAAGGAATAGTCAGACTGAATGGACAGGAATCTGGCTATTTTAGCATAGCTAAGGGGATCAAACAAGGTGATAGTTAAAGCCCGCTGCTATTTACCTTATATATGGATGGAATTGCTGCAATCTGTAAAAGATGAACAGAAAGGACGTTTCTGGGGCGAAGGAATCTGCTTCCAGTTGTATTTCAGTTTCTTCTTTATGCAGACGATATTGTCCTGATTGCTGATTCTGTGGAGAAATTACAGCAGGCAGTTGACGAATGGAACGAGGAGCTCCTCAAGAAGGGTATGGTCATCAGTACAAGAAAGGGCAAGATCCTACAGGTTGGAAGGGTGCAGGAAGATGTTACAGTGTAACAGAGAGGTGATGGAAGTTGTCTCAGATTTCATCTACCTTGGTTCTGTTATGGATCGGTCTGGGAAAATGGATTCAGAAATTCTGCACAGGATAAGCAAAGCAAACGCTGTATATTTCCAGATCTGCAATACAGAGACCGGAAAGAGAGAAGTGAGCAGAGATGGAAAACTGCACATATTTAAGGCAGTATACTTCCCTATACTACTGTATGGTGCAGAAAGCTGGGTGCTGACTGACAAACTTGAGACAAAAATCACTGCTGCAGAAATGAGGTTTCTCCGAAGAAGATCGCAGGGAAAACGAGACGGGACTGCATTCGCAACGAGAGAATCAGGGAGAAATTGGGGGTTTTCCCGATTAAGTATGTCCTAAAGATTCGGCAGCTTAAGTGGTTTGGGCATGTCATCAGGATGGAAAAACACAGAGATCCATTAAAGTCTATGGACAACGTCCCCAATGGCAGAAGACCCCGCGGCAGACCGAGAATGTCGTACCTCGAATACGTAGACCTCCTGTGCAAAAATAGAAATAAAAATATATGCCAAGTCAAAAATCTTGCAAGAAACAGGGAAAATTGGCAATCCTGGTTAGACGCTACCTTACACTGAAAGGCACTACAGGGTGCTGCAAAAGAAGAAGAAGGGTGTGGGGGAACCGACTATTATTTTATGTCTCAATAGTGTAATGAATACTATAAATTTAAAGGGGGCAATAGTATTGATACTTCTTCAATCTTATTGTAATAGCCTGAGTAAAAATTAAAACATTTTTTTTTACCCAATTTGATTGACATCAATATCAAATTATTGATGCAATCATATTGATCATATTAGGGATCCTTAAAATAATCTGTGCATGAAAACAATTTTTGTTTACAGTTTTTCAAGTTTCAAATTGATATTTAATGCTAGTTATTCTAAGTCCAAACAAACAGAATTAGGATATTTTTGTTGTTGATCTCTTTGTTATCGTTTGAAAGTTGTTTACAAGTAGGTTTTGTTTACATGAAGGTGATTGAAACTTAGTTTAGATTGGCAAGATGAATAAATCGGCAGATTATTCGCAAGATAAACAATTATTTAAGTTAAATGTGTGTCGCTTATGTTCTTTAATTAGAGATAAGTTATTACCGATTTTCGATAATTCTGGAAGTAAAGTTGATTTAAAGATCAAACAGTGTTTCCCTGAACTGGAGGTAAGAGAATGAAAGATCTTTCACTATTATAACTTGATTGTGTCAGTACTTTATTTGAAGTCAATGAAAGCTTAAAATCAAAATGTAGTTTTTTATTGTAATAGTTTTTATCAACTTTTTGTTTTTAAAAATCATTTTGACTGATTACCTGATGATCTATATCTTAGCTATAACAAATATAGGCAATTATCCACCATATATAATATAATTATATAATATAAAGAACAAAATTGTATAACATTTTTTATTTTCTGTTACAGATAAAAAAAGGAGATTTTAAACCTCAACACATATGCCTTGATTGTATTACAAAGCTTAATATGTTTAATGAGTTTCTTCAAGTATGTGTGGGATCTCAGTACAAATTTAATTCCTATCTAAAGGAGTTTGAAGATGAGGTTTTTATTGATTAATAAATATAGATTATGACTTTATACATACAAAAAAAGACAGTGAATGGCTCAGTTTTTTTATGATAATTTTATAAAAGAAGTGGTATCATTAATATTGATGTAATTATGATCTATCCACTCATAAATAATACCAATAGGTCTTCATATTACATACCACAGGAGTTTTGATGTATTCTTTTAAGATAAATTTGATGTGATGTCTAGAAATCTACAATTAGCCAATTTATATCTATCATGTTGTGTATTTATTAAAAGTATGAAGAACCCTTATAAACTATCTTCTTAATATTTTATTAAACATTTAAAAAAAAAGAATAGTCGTATTTCTCACTATTTATGTGGTCATTAAATCGTGGTTATCATTCCTTACTACCTCTTCCTTATTCTTCCCTTTTAAATGGCCATGGGATAAGATGAACTTAAGAGTTCAGTGGACTTCCTTTAGATTTTTCTTCTCAAACTTCCTCTCCAGCGATGAGAATACAAATGTTGGCCAAATATTGTGATTACTTGGATCTTCCAAAAAAATTTTTAAATTACACCTGTATCTCTTATGAAACTATTAACTTAATTCATAATCCCTAGAACAGCGAGATCCTGAGGCACTTTACAAAGTTCACACTATATTAACGATTTGGGTCCAAGTGGTCACAAGTTATAGTGCTTCCTAAACTATATGTATCTCAATTATAAAGCATTTAAAGAAGCCCATAGTTAATCTACATTTCAGGTATCTTATCAGATTTTATACATACATGATAATACTTTATAATGTATATAAGTATAACTATAAAAACTTTATAATGTATATAAATATAACTATAAAAACTTTATAATGTATATAAATATAACTATAAAAACTTTATAATGTATATATGTATTAAAAATATTGTCACAATTAATTATGAGAACATAGTCATTTACATTTTCACTGAATAGTCATTATCAACATAGGGTCTGTCTCTACCATGCCTAAACTATTTATCGAAAGTTTTGGTACTAGTTCACAAGAGTTCCGCATGAATCTGGCATGGTTCACAATCACTTCTCTCACACTTGTTCTTGGAGTGATTAATGCATCTGGGTTTATCCAAAAGAGTACGGAGGCGACCGATCTCTTGAGTTTATCACGAACAACTTTCCCGCCATTTAAGTACTTGTATACCCTTTATCATGTACAGTTATACTGCATGAATTGACTGATATTTGACATTTGGGATACATCACCTAACGTTAATTGAACTTATACATATATTATACAGTTGTGGAAAAGAAATAGTAATAGATAAAAACCTTTAATTACTATATCACTGGATGCTATTGTAGGATATATATTTTTTCTTATTGATGATTCCTATTATTCAGTATCATGGAATTTTCAGACATTCTTCGTCAGCTATTTTCTTTATTTTTATTCCACAGTAATAAAAGTTATAAAAAAAAAAAATACCAATTAACAGATTTGTTAATATATAATTTTGATAAATAATTTGTTTACAAATTGTTAACAAGGAAGTTCTATGATGGGAATAAGCAGGTTTTTAAAAAATGTGGTGGTTGGGACAAGAGCTGACTTCATAACATTAGACTATTTTGCTATTTCATGACAAAGTGTGACTGAAGAGATTGTAAACCATGCTTAATCCGTGAGAAACTCTTGTGAACCAGTACCAAGCTTTGTATAGTTGGTTTATTGCAAAAAGTCATGAAGTAACATTTAATAAAATAATATTCCTAAGGACTTTAATGATTTTTCTCTCTGTGAAGTCAGAATATTGTGCACTTATTGTAACTTTTGCATTTTTTATAAATTATAAGGTTTATCTCTTTTTGGTGTACTTTAGTTTTTTTTTTCATCCATAAATAAGGTCAAAAAATATACTTGTATGTTTGGCTTAGTTTGAACATGAAATTAGTGTATGTTTGAACATTTTCTTAGTAGCTTTGTGTAATACACATACAATATATTATAGATTAAAATTAATTTTATTCATGATTTCCAAATTTGGATTTGGTGCATACTGTTTTTATTGATGTGTTTCTAGGAAAATCTTTTAAAGTCATCTTTCCTGAATAACACTAATGCATCTTTGATGGACGAAGCTTCAAAAATACAGAAAAAAAGTGCATTACAAAACAATGAAGGTGTAATTGTATTAAGCAAATTAGATCCAGTTCTATGCGATGCATCTGTTAGAGATTTTGTAGTCAAGGTAGAATTAAAATACAAAGAAAATAAAACTGGTTCAGAAATGAAAAATGATGATGTGGACAGTATGCAGAAGAAATCAGCTCTACACTTTGATAGTCAAGACAAGTCATGTAGTAGCTCCTCGTCTTATTCCATTAGCTCTCAGTTGAAAGATAATCAACAGAATAAAGGAACTTCATCCAATAAGTAAGCCTGTACATTTTGCTAAGATCTATTATATTTTGGTTTTATTAATGGGATAACCCTATGTTAGATTATTATTATATGATGGTTAGTCTTCCATTGACTAAGTCATAAAGGATTCTAAAACTTTGTGTGATCTTGTTGATATAATTATTAGCATATGCATACTTGACCATGAACACTATATAGGGATTCACTTCTCCCTCTCCCCAATAGAGGATTTCATTAAGTATCTTTAATCTGTTCTAAAAAAACTTAGGTTTAGGTAATGAACAATTTAGTTTGGTTAGGTAATATAGACTTCATTGTGCCAGTTGCCTATATAGCAGCTACAATGCAGTTTTCATTTTGAGTACTCTGTAGTTTTGTTTGTTTTCTTTAAATATAGGGGTAATAGATTTTATGTATATTAATATGTTTTCTTATTAGTTATCAAAATGAATTGACTCCTTTTTTAAAAAGATGAGCTGATTGCTCAATTTAACATGATCCATGTTTATTCTTCAAAGTCACATTAATGAATCAATGAGCATATTGGTATGTTTGACATATCCACTAATTTTTGTCGCACTATTTGAATAAATATAGTTAGTAAAACTTTCTTAAAAATTAATTTATCCAGAATATAACTAATTCAGAGTACATTTAACTAGTATTTTATATTTTATTTTATTGTCATCTCATACGTTTAGAATTCCTAACCTTTTTTGTGATATATCTTCTTCCTCATATGAAAGATTTAATTCAGTATTTCTCCCATCTGAAAAACACCAGAGTTGTCATTTCTTTATTTCCTATAATACTTAGGAAATAAAGAAATGCTAATATACACCAGAATGCTAAAATCTATTATCCTATGGACTGAATCTTTCTTCCAATTTAGTATTTGAAAATTCTTCTTTTACAAATATATTCTACTAGTGTTCTAATGCATTTACCATACAGCTCTATTGGAAACACTATTCTAATGATTGGAAGTCTTGCTTTGTTATTTACAGATTCCTTTTTGCAAAGTTTAATACTAATTGATAGTTAAAAAAAAAAAAAAAAATATATATATATATATATATATATATATATAAGTACTCACATGGATTAAGAACTAAATATGGTATATAAGCTAGCAATGCTGGTAACTGGTTTCCTCTCTAGATTTAATTTTCAAGGTTCCAGCAGACTGATCAATGTATTATTTTTTAATGATGCGATGAGAATAAGATGTTGATGTTGATTCTGCTTTTCAATATTTCCTATCTGGTATAAATTATTGTCATGATAGTATATACCATTTAAGGAAGGGGAGGAAGCATATACAATATAACTGATCTTACTCTTTTTTTTTTTTTATAGGTGAAGTAAGTATGGAAAAAATTCTTAACCCATAATTTCTTTTATTTTTTTACTTCTTCTTCTTTTGCATCGCCCTGTAGTGTCTTTCAACGTAGGGGACCAGGATTGCCAATTTTCCCTGATTTTTGCAAGATTTCTGACTTGGCGTATATTCTTATTTCTATTTTTGCACAGGAGGTCTACGTATTCGAGATACGACATTCCCGGTCTGCCGCGCCATGCGGGGTCTTCTACCATTGGGGACGTAGTCCATAGACTTTAATGAATCTCTGTGTTCTTCCATCCTGATGACATGCCCAAACCACTTAAGCTGCCAAGTCTTCAGGACATCCTTCATCGGGGCAATCCCCAATTCCTCCTTGATTCTCTCGTAGCGAATGCAGTCCCTTCTCGTTTTCCCTGTGATCCTTCGGAGAAACCTCATTTCTGCAGCAGTGATTTTTGTCTCAAGTTTGTCAGTCAGCACCCAGTTTTCTGCACCATACAGGAGTATAGGCAAGTATACTGCCTTAAATATGTGCAGTTTTACACCTCTGCTCACTTCTCTCTTTCCTATCACAGTATTGCAGATCTGGTAATATATAGTGTTTGCTTTGCTTATCCTGTGCAGAATTTCTGAATCCACTTTTCCAGACCGATCCATAATAGAACCAAGGTAGGTGAAATCTGACACATCTTCTATCACCTCTCTGTTACAATACACTGTAACATCTTCCTGCACCCTTCCAATCTGTAGGATCTTGCTCTTTCCTGTACTGATGACCATACCTTTCCTGAGGAGCTCCTCGTTCCATTCGCCAACTGCCTGCTGTAATTTCTCCACAGAATCAGCAATCAGGACAGGGGTGGGTCGAAGCACCCAATGATTTAGTGTGTCTGTCCAAGGCCATATAGTTATTTTTTTACTAATATATTTATTTTTTGTCTTGTTGACATATTGTGGTCGGGACATCTAAAAATATGTTTTTTTTAAACCCTGCTTAGAGCATAGGTCATCTAATTACACCTTTTTTATAGATGAGTGGTGAATAAAAAGCTATACAGGTTACCTATATTTTATTGCCCTTTCTCATGCTTAGTATTAAAAATAACAAACATACACAGAATAATTAATTAGATAGATTGTTGGTAAGATCATAATAATAATGGTAAACTTCATTAAATGCAGCTTCATCCATAATGCACAAACATAAATAACACCCAACCGCAATGTATTAACTATAGTCTAGTACTTTCGAAATAGAAGTATTTGTTTTTGACATTTGTGATTTTCTTGAAAAGAAATCCATACTTCAATTTTAATTTCTTTGTTGCTCATTCATATTTTCAGGAAAATAATTTAATAATGAGTGTGAAAAATGCATTTTCTCCATTCATTACTCAAAAGGCATTATTTTGTTTGTTCTGGTCTTTAGGTGTTTCTTTTACACCTAAAATATACCACATTTATGTTTTTTTGCTGCTAAAGTAGATAATATTTTACAGTTTATGTTTAAGTTAGTGTGAAAAATAATTAAAGAAGGCATGTTTTATCGAATTCTAATATTTGAAACAAAGTATTGGGTATCCAAGAGTAGAAATAAAAATCTATAATTTGTTATCTATGAAGAAAATAAGAGAATGAATAAATGCAATTTTCGTAGTTCGCTAAAAATAAATCTTGTTAAATTTTCCAATAATTATGGTTTATTAGTTGTTTTTTTTTACCACCTTATGCCTATTCTATAGTACAATAATAAAGCAAGAACGGGAAAAAAAACAACAATGGTCATTCTTTCTTAAACCTGTACTTACGATACAAATGTGGTATGAATTAGCTAGGCTAATAAAAAGATTTCTAACTTTACCTGAATTACTTTAAAAAATAAAAGTTGTTCTTATGTAGAATATAAAAATAAAGCTGAGAAGAAGAAATTTCTCATATTACAATTAAAATATAAATATTTTACATTTCTGTTTTAATTTTTTTAATCTATATTTCCTCATTTACGTATCTTAAAATGCTATATATGTATTAATTATAAAACCCAGAACAAACATTAATAGGTGTTAACCTTTTTATACATCCTTATTTTTACATCAGATTATATTTTTCATTGAATAAACATTTTATATGGTATAATTTGTTTTTGTTCAATTATAAAAAAAAAAGAGTGTAGCCAATTTCTGATAGTGAAGCCAGGAAGAAATGAAGGTGCCACTTGAAGATTGAATAGCAATGTAGTTCAACTGCTGGTGACATTCTAACTACAAAAAAATTCAGATATTTTGCATTTAAATATCCTTTAAATGTTGAAAAAGTATGATGTTTATTTGTAAATGCTTCACCATTTTCTCTTTCCTAATGCATAATAAGACCTTTATATACCTCCTAACACAGTGTTATTCTACATTTTTGTTAATAATTCTCTTAGAAATACCTGCACTTCAGATTAACTGACCAGAAGGGCTGCTGACCAATTTACAAAAGTTCGTACTGTATTCATAACTGAGGATGTGGTTGCAATAAAGGCCTGTATTACCATTGACTTAAGACAGTTGTGTAAAAATTCCACTTTGGTTGTTCAACTAGATAAAAAAATAGTTGTTTTATAACCTTACAATTATTCCAAAAACATGTATACCAACCAGTCTTTTTTTTATTAGGCATACACTTTTTATAAGTTTAATTTGTTTTTTATTTTATGTTAATATCTTGAAGAATTGATTAGAGCTCTTACAATCAATAAAATAGGCTAATGGTGAAATTGAGTACAGAATGAATTTTTAACAGTGTAAAAAATAAATAAATAAAAAAGTAGGTACAAATATGTCTACTTCCGGCAAAAGGTAAACAAAGAGACTTTTATATTTATAGAAAATTACTGAGCAAACCAGAGTATATTACATGCCTCCAAGATAATTTTCCAAGCTCAAGCTAGACCAAAATGAATGCAACTTATCTCTGTTTTATTACAAATCCAATTAAATTGTGCTTTTGTTTAACACAGTTTCTCACTATTGAAGATAAGAAGCATTGTACTTTTTCCTTAAATCTATTCCTTTAAAAGGGTGAGAGTAGTATAGAGAAAGGTATCAATGGATTTTCTTTTAAAGATTCAAACAAATATATTCAAGCACCAAATAAATTTAATCCATAAGTCTGGGGTACTTTCTCTGAAGCATTTAGAAACCATTCCCTATAGAAAGTTACTCTAACAGGTTAGAACAAATTTCTTTTACTTTGAGATTATGTGAGGTATCTACTAACAAAAAAGGATAACATCTTTTTATTTAAATATTCATTTCTGAAAAGTTCAAAATATAGCTAAAATAAATATTTACTAAAAAATTAATTTGCATTTCAGAACAAAATGCTGGAAAGAAGACATGTCAGTGTAACAATAAAAATAACTTGCTATTTATTTGTTTGACCTTCAAAGAAAAGTTTCCTAAAAATAAAAGGAAGTGAACTGGATCATGTATGAGCAATACAGAATTATTAAAAACTTAAACATTCATAGCTTGATTCTAACTTTTGAATTATGGATCCTTATTTTGGTCACATCATTAACTGTGCTATTACTTTTTTACCTGAATATTCACATTCGTAATTTTAAATTTCTTTTTATTTTAACACTATTATATTTCTACGCTTGTTGAGGCCTGAACTTCGGGCCGAAATTTTGGCGAAAGTGAAAATAAATACAACTTTTTGACTGATCCTCCTTCTCTTCTATTATATGGCTAATATGTGGTCAAAACTTTAACTTAAATACAATATTCTCTTTCTCAATAAATTTTCATTATTAATATGAACTGCAGCAAGATTTTAAAACAGTAAATCACCCTTTTGAAAAAAAAGTCATAAGATTTTTCCTCAACTCCATCAATAAAAATAATTTTTATATTTTTAAACCTTAAATATTTTGAAGCTTTTCAGTTTTTTCTTTTATCTTTGTGAAGAAAAAACTGTTACTAATATGTTCAATTGTTAGTATACAAATTTAATTTTAATAATTATTCTATAATAAATGATACAATTTTACTTTTTAGGTATTACAAGGATAAGAAAATTTTTCAGTGTACTGTTTGTGGGCATAGTTTTTCCCGTCAAACTCGTTTGAAGTCTCATATGTCTCGTCATACTTCGATCAAGCCATTTAAGTGTGATAAATGTGATAAAGCTTATGCACTGAGATGGGACCTCAATGCTCACAAGCGTATTCATTCTCTAACATTTGTATGTAATACATGTAATAAGTCATTTAGCTCAAAATCAAAACTGGGGAGGCATAATATTGTTCACACTGGAGAAAGACCATATCCTTGTCCACAATGTGGTAAATCCTTTGCTGAAAAAAGCAATTTAACAAACCATATTCGAGGCCATACTGGAGATAAGCCGTTTTCGTGTACTATTTGTGGTAAATCCTTCTCTGTCAGGTCACACTTGAAAGATCATCTTAGCGTTCATAACAAAACGCCAAGGTTTAGCTGTACATTATGCAGTAAATCTTTTAAATGGAAAACAAATTATAATAGGCATTTTAAATCGCATAATACAGCAAAACATCTTTCATCTTAAAGTCAAAGTAAAGATACGTTAGTAACATTACATTAAATAAAGACTTACAGATGTCAACAGTTAACGACTATATTTGAACACACTACAAAATATTTCACAATAACTTACACAGACATACCAACTCGCTGATTCAAGGCATGGCCACAACCAACATGCCCAATGGCACCCCTAGAAGGCTCAAGAGAAGCTGGATGAGGGATCTCCTCAAATAACAAAACATATTAAATCAAGACAGGAAGAGAGGCCACGGTGCATGTAAAACATCACTGAATATGCATTTATAGAATCTTTCAGTAATAGAAATTCATTTTACTGGGTTCAAACACCTTTTTTGATTACGTCTTCTTTGAGGAAGTTTTTATAAATTTTAATATTGCAAATGTTATTGAAGGATCTATATTGTATTCATTAAAATCTTTTTTTTTTTAACATTTGATGGAGAGGGATAAAATAACTTAACTTAATGTCAGTAAAGACCAAGGAATTAACATCATGTGGACGACTTACCGTAATGTTGGTAAGAGTCATTATTACTCAATGGTATCATTTAAGTTGATGATAAACAAACTAAAGCTGCAAATTATAATGATTAGTCATGACAAAAACAAAAAAGGTTTAAAAATAAGGAGAATGTTGTTCAGTGTGAATAAATAGTTGTTAATTGTTATTGTATTACAGTAATACACACATTTTATCTTAATAGCCTTCTTTATTTAACAAGGCATTTAATTTTCAATCAATAATTTGTTTTTGTTAATTTATCTATAATTAATATTGTTTGTATTAATTTTGTCTGTTGGAATTTTTCTAGTCATGGTTATTAGCTTTCATGTTAGGTTTATTAAATTATTTTGTATTTATTTGTGTAATTGTGATAGTATTTATTGTTATAGAGAAATTAAAGTTAATTTTAATGTTAAATCAATTTTTTTTTACCATCTCTGCCTCCTTTAGTTGTGATTAACTTCTTATTCTTTTGGAGAAATAACATCTATAGACTGCCTTAAAAAATAAGTTGTATATATAATATGAAAGTTATTGAAAATTGCTGTAAAGTATTACAGTAGATAAAACTATTTTGAAATATCACAACACTAGTTTGAGTTGTTATTAGAATATTGAGTAAACATTAAACAAACTTATAAGGATTATCTCTTCTGCAGTTATTAAAGTGGGGGCATATTGTTTGAAAAACAATATTGGTCATTAATCCCATCAGTGTATTAAAAATCTATTTTCTATCCAACAGCCAAATCTTTTGTTGTATCTTGAGATTTTTTTTATTTCTTTTTTCCTTTCAAATTCCTAATTGATGATTCTGTGATAAATCACTTAACAGCTATGATTAAAAAAAAATAAGACTTGTGTTAACTATCAAGCTATTTTCCACCTCAAATTAGATAACTTAAATATATATATATATATATATAAATTAATTTATAATTTATATATAACAGCACTTTCTAAATAAATATATCTAAGGTTTGCCTTAAAACTTGAGTCCTACAGTTGGATGATTTGGGACTCAAGTGAATATAGTTTAATAGAAGTATTACTATAGCATAACATAAGAAGGTTTCATATTAGGGAAAATAACCAAAAATATATTTGATTCTTTTAACATGAGATTTATATTTATTTCAGAACAATGGTCATTAAAATATAATAGTGTTCAATGCCAAATATCTTTTAATTACAAGATAAAAACAAAACGAACATAATTGAATATGTGATAATAAATATTTATTTGAAACAATACAGTGTGTCAGAAGTTGTTTTTTATTTATGATCATATGTTATACATGCATAGCCAATGGAATTATGATAATCTATATCCGTATAAAGCATGAATACCAATTTTTTTCAACATTTAATTTTATTCAATGTTTTTCATTTAATAATTGAACTATTTCTTACTGACAACACAAATTAATATTTAGGTTATGAAATCAATATTTCTAATCATGTTCATATCATATTTTTCATATACATCAATATTTACAACAAAAATTGAAACTAGAGTCGGTAATTCTAGTTTCTTTTATCTTCTTGAAAATAAAAACATTTCAGCTGTATACAAAAAAGTACTTAATATTTTTTAAAGAAAACTCAAGGTTAACAATACAGAAAAAACATTTATAAAATGTAGTTCATAAAAATCACTTTGAAAAACAATTTATCTAATTATAATACAGCCTGGAGAATACACTATTTAATGTCTTATGTGCCTTTCCTCCACTTTTCAGCAGCTGCGAATTCAGTCATACCCTTTCCACTTACACCACAAGTGCCGATACCAACACGCCCATTGACATTATCAGGCGAGGCAAATATACTTTTCTTAATAACACCTTTCTTTGTTGTCTGAAAAACAGAAGATAATATAAATAGAAGTTAATAAAATAGTTACTATAATCAGACTTTTAAAAGAATTTTGATTAGAGTAGTTTAAAAATACTAGAAGGCCCATTCGAAAAATTCGTACATCATGTTGTTTTCAAATGCCAAATTAATAAGAAAATAAAATAATGCAACATATCAAAAGATAAAGAATCAATTGTTACTTTATCGATAAAGGAAACAAAAATTAATTTAAATCTTCATTAATGTTTAGAACCAACATGTTTACAAATTTCAATAAATGTATCTTTGCTAAAAATTGTCCGATTTCGATGATGTTTTTTTCCTTTTGTAGGGAATTTAGTGATCTTTTATATAATCTTGGGCATAATCACGGGGAAAATGTGTACTTTTTTAGTTATTCGCAAATAAATTTTTTTTTTTTTAATAATTTCATAACTTGTTTGCCTGAATTTTCGAGGTGATAGGACTATTTTGCCTGCCTGAAGGAGAAAGAAGCCTTCGAAATTGGTGGCTCAATCTTGAGTTTTGGAGAAGAATTAATGATGATATGGCTCGCCCATCAAAAACACCATCGATAGATAATATAAACTCCCCGTCTTTCGATCATAGAGTCCTCAAATCGACGAAATGAGATATGTATTCAATGACAGTACTACAATTAATGTAAGGTTGTGTGGATGCGAATCCTATGCCTTGCGTTATCTCGAAAATAGTACGTTTTTGGGCTTAAAAACACAGGATACGACAGTTCCGAAGGAACCATCTGGGTCTTGCTGTACGTCTCAAAATCTTCCAAGGTCCAATTTGTCCCTTATCGATCTACAGACTTACCACCATTTCAGTATTGAAGTCTAGCAAAATGTTTGTATTGACTTTATTTATTTTAGAAAGAAAATAAAAAGTGGAGAATACGATTCGCTAACCACCCTCTCCCCCATAAAATTCTGAATCCAACAATACCCCACCCCATTCATGGTATTTGAGAATGACAAGAGCTTATATTTGGTACAAAACCGATTTCGAGCCTTACTGTAATAATATATGTGGGGATTCTTTAATTAAAATAATTTAATGTCAAAATGAAATTTAATCAGTTTTTAAAATAAAAACTTTGAAATATTCTAATAAGAATTATGCTCAGTAATGCTGATGAAAAGGTAATAAATAAATGATAATATGAGAATTGATAATAGCAATATATTAACATAAGAAATAAAAATGTAGTTTTTGTAGATGGCCGTTAGCTGCCCATCTAATTTACGCAGTTATGTCAGAGGCAAAAGAAAAAATTGAATTAATATTAAAAATTAGGTACTTCTTGTCTAGGGGGGCGGACTGAAACCTCACTTCTTATCTAATGTCATGTCACATAACCTCCCTCTTCTTTTCCCGCCAAACCTTTAGTTATTGCATTGTTTAGTTTTCAGTTATTCCCTCATTACGTTCACTTATTAAATTCTTTACTTTTGGCCCGTTTGTGTTAATTTTTAATTGTTAGTCTGTTTGTGTTTATTTTACATTTTTTTTTTTAGTTTTTGGCCCCTTTGTGTTTACTTTTAATTTTTTTCCGTTTATTTTCGCCATATTATGGATCTTCTTAGAATATGAGATTTTACGCCTTCAGAAGAACAGGCAATTCAATATTTTCAAAATGTTGGGGTACTTGCCGACGTGAAATTGTGTGAACGAGGTCATCGAATGAAGTTAATCAGGAAGGCCAAATGGAGATGCTTTCATAGGACTTATGACACAAAACTTTCAATAAGGAAAGGTACATGGTTGGAGGGCTCGAGGATTTCGTTTTTGACAGCTTTAAAATTGATTTATGGGTCTTCCATCTTTCCAGTGTTGGGACCACATAGAAAAATTGAGAATTATTTCAAGAAATGAGATAAACCTAGAAGGCTTGCTATCAAAAAGTACACACCGACTGATATTATGTAAACCTCCTTTATACATATTTTATCTTAGACCATTCTCCTACTACAGAATATTCAGAGAAATAAAATTTTAAATCAGTACCACATAAGAAATATATAATTTACCTTAGAACTAAATGCAAGCCATTTATTTTTTTCTGTTTCCCTTTCTTCTTCTAGCTGCTTATATCTTTGAAGTTTTTTAAGTTTTTTCTTTTTCTGATATTCTCTAACTTTAGATATTGGATGTTTTCTGAAAAAAAAAAATATATATATATATATAATGCAAGATATAGTAATGTCTCCTCTCTATTAATTACATTTTGATTGTATGTACATATTGTGCGAATGAATCATGTAGCCTTAATATTTATGTCCTTTAATGTAGCAGAATGTATTAATATTCAATAAAGAAAGTAAGCACTTGTCAAAAAAAAATTAAATTTTGAAGACATGATTTCTTTTATTGAGAATAAGATCTGTATTAGAAGTCAATTCAATAAAGGATTGGAGCCAAGAGGGGATTAATATAAAGACTGCACACAAAACTTATAGTAATTCACAAATATACGTTTGATTACTAGATTGAATAAACTTATAATATTACTTAATTATTATATTTCAGTTTAATAGTAAAATAGGTATTAGTTTATCAATCAAGAAAAAACAACTATCCATTATATATATATCTTATTAATCAAGAAGACTTACTTTGGTTTAATTGACATTTCAGAGCGAGGTATTTCTTTGATAAACTCCAAGGTTGTGACTTCTGCGCTTCTGTTATGCGTAAATAAAACAGAAACTTCTTCATTTTCTATTGACTCTATCCTGGCTTCATAGTATCTGAAACAATATTTCTATATTTTCTGTGCAACAAGTTAAAAGTAAAATAATAATAACTCATTTTAATCTAAATAGCTGCAGGTTTAAAAACATATAATACCCAATATTAAGAACAGTTACAATATGAAACCTCATATAAATGAACAGATATATGTAATGAACCCAGTTTAAAGAAATATAATTTAAAAAAAATAATAATACCAGATGATCTAAAAACCCTTCAGTGTTTGCAGGACTGAGACTAAATTTCTGAATCATATAGGTATATCAATGTGACAATATATAACAATATTGTAATAAAAATTATAGTTTTCATTATTTTTCCTGAATATTGTCATTCAACCTAATTATGATAAATCTTAAATGTAACATATACCAGTTATAAGCCTAAAAACTACACCTGTACCACTATAACCTATGAAGGGTTTTGAGTTCAGTACTACAAAAGGAAGTATAGCATTGTTTCTTGTTCAACAGCTGTTCAAGGGGGTGATTTAATCCAGCTCACACTCAACAGCCATTTTTTCCTTAGTTGATGAATTAATTAAGGATACCCACTTTATAGAGGGGCTGTGTTTGCCCCAAGAGGGTCTCCCGACCTCAGGGTCATTAAAAGTCAATGAAACAGAATAAATAATTATCTGTCATCATAGGTTTCCTGATCCTTTATCAATTAGAGTTGATATGTTTAATATAACATAATTCAGTATAGTTTCATTTGTATGATAATAAATGGAGCATGCCCTCTCACCAAAGAAACATAATTTTGAAAACTTCATTATTTTTTTTCCCCACATATCACAGAAATGAACAAGTAGCTTAAGAGATATTTTTTTTTCCGTTAACAAATATTTATTACAATTAATTATTTTTGTTTGGTAAATTCACCTTTAAAAAACTGAAATTTAAAATATTAAAACCACATAAAAATTGTGTTTAGTAAGAATGTTTTGGAAGCCTAAAATTTACAAAAAGGAATTTAAAAACCAGAAAAAATACTCTCAACATCACTCACAATGGAGTTGATGAATTCGCTTACTTATAAAATTTACTTACCTCAAAATAGTTAATATTTTAAACACACTGGTGAATTACACCAATAAGAGCCACAAGGTTAACCCTATACATCACTAAAAATAAACAAAATAACTGACAATAATTTTAAAAATATTATGCTATTATAAAAAATTACTAATAATAGCTGAAACTAACCAAAATTCAATTTAAGTTTGATAACACCGAGGACGAGTAAACATAATATGGGCAGCATTCCCTCCATTCTTCCCTGATAAAGTGTAAGAACAGCTAACCACGTATAACTGGCAAGGAACCTTCAAAAATAAAATACTTTTCCAGAAATCAAAAACATTTATTGACAAGGATACCAGGAATGACAAATTGTAAGAATTTTAACATGGTATTAGTTCGAGTATTATATAAATGAGAAATAAAAGAGAAAATAATGAACATCTACATTACAATATAATGAACATATGTGTGTTCAGTATGTTAATCAGAAAGATGAGAGGTATTACTAATGCATTGGTGGTATTAACCACTATAAATCCATTAAAACATTGTTCGAAATGTAATTTTTAAATAATGTAATATATTAAATTTTAATATCCCTATAATGTATGTCAACATTCATCAAATTTAATAACAATTTAATTTAATGTAACACTAAAACTGTGAGATGGAAACCCCAAAATTTATTATATAACACTGTCGACAAAATTGACAGTAGCTCTATCAAAGGATCAATTTGAATTGTGACGTATTCAATCTGGAGATTGACAAACTTTATCTATTTAATTAGGTACTAAAAACTTGTAAATACCTATTTGCTTTCCACTTAGATCGTAAGGTAATTTGATCACAAAAGCGAGAAAAAAGGTGACCTACAAAAATATTGGGCCTATATAACATCGTTGGTTTGGCATGTGGGGGGTGTTGATCAAACGATCCAATATTTTTGATGGCCACCTTTTATCTCGATTTTGTGCTCAAATTATCTTACGATTAAATTGCTGATTTCGGAATAGAAAACTCCCCAATTCCAAAAATTTTCATAAATAAAATAGTTGTAGGTTATGATGAGATGAAACTACTTTTGAAGTTTCAGACCGATGCTAATAATTTGATAAAAAGGAGTCTGTACCACGGGCTATTAAGGTAATGATAAAATTCAGGATTCCCCAAAAAACTAGCCTCTTTGACAACAATGACCTTGAGCAGTGCTGGTAAAAAGGGAGGGGCAAATCTGGCAAGTGGGCTTCATGGTCCTTTTTGCTAAGACCCTAAGCGGTAGTACATCAATTGTGAAGATGAATGGCCTGTTGTCGGAGGATTTCGAGGTGAGAGATGGGCTCAAGCATGGTGATCCTTTGTTCCCTACTTTATTTAATATTGCTTTAGAGTATGCAATACGAAAGGACATATCCTGGATGACACAGCATTTAGCTTATGCTGATAATGTTGTAATAATGGCAAGAAATGGAATAATTGAAAACCTCATCAAAAGAACTTGGATGTGCTGATTACTGAAAATTATGAAATTGTATACAGCAAGGATGTCTGTAGGGGATAGCCGTTGTTTTGCCATGTATAAAATATTTATTATAGATCCTTTTCTCATAGAACAAAGATCCGAGTTAAGAGATAGTTATCAGACCAGTCGTCACCAATGGTTTTAAGACTTGGGTGATTTCTATAGCTTCGGAAAGAAAACTACTTGTACGGAAGAGAAGGGTTCTCTGCAGGATCTATCATCTGGTGTGTAAATATGAAGAATTCACACCCATAAAGAGCTGCATGAAAAGTATGTGAGGGGGGGATTTGATTTTAATTGTGAGGGTAATTAAATGAGATGGTTGGGTCATGTAGTAGTTTACACGTATGCCCAAATATATGGTTCCTAAACGCCTACTTGAGAATTCACCCGGTGGAAAATGTGGCAGAGGAAGAGCACACCTGAGATGGCTGGAGAAGATAGAGGACATCCAGAGAAGGATGGGAATCCGAAGATGGCGTCTGCTCGTCCAGGATTAGAGTGTGGAGGAAGATCATAAGGAAGGCTCAGGTTCTTGCAGGACCTGAGCGCCAAGAATAAATAAATAAGTCTTGAATGTAATAAAAATAATTTGTTTCATACTATTATTCTAAGCACATGTGACTATAAAGCTTATGAGATGCAGGATGTGTTTTAGCAAATTAAAGTTGAATTAATATTTTTTCTTTCACTTATCTTATATATATAAAATATATAGTAACGGTAAGTATTGTGATCATGAAAATTTTCGAATCTGAGTTTTCAATGGAAATACATGTTTTGAGGTCTCCCGAGTCCAAATAACCAAGTCCCATAAAATGGTCTGTGTGTATGTATGTGGTCAGTCTAGCTCAAAAACGAAAAGTCGTACATAACTGATATTATGTATTTAAGATAGGTACATGACTCAGATGTTATGCAAATCTCGTAATTTCATTTTAGTAAACTTTACAATGGAAAATAACAGTTTAATAACTAATAGTCCTACAATCCATAATCATTTATAGGTTAAATATTCAGATATACTTTTAAACCTCTCTAGGCATATATCAGCCTTTCGGTAGACAAAATGACTAACTCCAATTTTAACATTCTTTATTATTAATTTTAGTGATGTTTCTTGAGGCAAAATTGATACCTCTATTCACAGTTCAATATTTCAACACTGCAATCATCTACTCTGGAATCAGCTTACTGTCTGTATAGATACAACTAGAATTATCACTAAAATAGCATTAATCTAAAATGTTGAAATTGGAGTAAGTCATTCTCTCAACTGAAAGGCTCGGAGACTGAAATTGTGTGGTTTATAAAAACAGATAGAGTAACTATATTTTTATTGCCTACCGTCGATGTAATAAATAGTTTTATGTAATTTTAATGGTCTTAATGATTTGTTATGTGTAAGCTTTGAGCTTTAGCTGCGTTTAAAATGCACTTCATAAATTTTGTAATAACCCAACATTGCTAGAAAATAATTTCTGTTCAAAATAGAGTAGTAAGTGAAAGCTGTGTGTTGCGCATACCAGATTTTTTTTCCGACAGGTCAATAAAAATTGTGTTTCCTTAAATCATGTATATGTCAATAACCTCACTGCTCTTATAAACATAATAAGGATTTTTAGACTAACTTGATGCAGTGATATGTCATTTGCAACAATAGGACATCTCTGCTCCTTCCTTTGATTGTCATAATTTCCTGGTAATTTCAATCACTGAAACTTCCTAAATATTATAGTAAAGCATTATAGTATAGCTTTCCTATCGCTTTTCTAGTGCTGCTGCAGCTATTTCAAACAGTATAAGAATTATCAACTCAGAAAAAGGAGCTCTGACCCGACCAATAACATATGGTTTTAAGAAAAGTTGAAACAATAATAATATTGTTCAGCTATTTTACTAGTCTAAATTGTTGAACCCCCCCTTAAATAGAAAAGTTTTTTATCACATGTCCCTAAGAGAAAAACGGGCCAGGATTCCAAATCATGATATTTATTATCATGTCATCTAACACCAGCTAACAACAACAATGATAATAAAAAAATATTAAAACTAACAAATAACAATTACTGTTGTTACAATTTGTCGTGTTATAATTTTTTTCTACTGCTTCAATTGAATTTATCAATGGACTAGTGTATGCAAGTAAATCCTTAGAGATTTTTTTTTTTTTTTGTAAGATCTATTTTTACCTAAATACTTCAAAAATATACTATTTGCCTGAAGATGCCTGAATTAGAAAAGATTTAAGGATTATTTGATAATAAATTGATGTTATGACAGAGACTACTAATGCCTTAATTAAGACTTATATTTCTAATAAAGTATCTTTCCCAATGTCCTCATTAAAAATAATCTTCAATTACTACGTTAAAGCAGTTGTACAATATGGAAAATAAAACCACAAACAAAATGAATAACTTTTGGTAGGAATATAACATAGTGAAAGGATGCATTACTAATCAAGACATTCAGAAATGGAGATCTACAGAGGTGGTTCAATTAAAAAATTGGACATGAGTAATTAATAACAATTAAGAATATATGTGAATCTAAAGCAAAAATTTACTTACTGGCCATCTTGAACCCAAAGGGCTAAGCATACGTCTCCAGGTCTCCAATCTTTTTTTGAATTTGCAACTGGCGAATCGGGTTTAGAAAACTCCGAAAATTCTTTTTCTAATAAGTCATTACCATCTGTAAATAATAATATATAATAAATTAAACATTACTTATATAACACGTTAAAGGATATAAATAAATAGTAATAAATATTCACATTATAAATGTATGTATAATTTATAGACATAATTAAGAACAACATTAAAACAAGATAAAAGCACAAACATTTTGGAGCTATTTAGAAGCACTAACTAAAATATTGTTTTATAAAGATCAACTGTGCTTTGGCAAAATGTCTCATATCCCATCAGTCAAAGATATTCTTTTAGAACAACGAGGGTTTTGTAACAATATCTTATTTTCAAACCAACTGGCTTCATAGACCATTTGATAAGTTATTGACTGTTCCAGTAACATTTGGCAGTCCTCTCCTCTATTGAGTGCCGCTACCTTCCAATCTATTAAATTATAGAATTACAAAAAACCTGGTCCATTGAATTTATTTTAAAGACATTTTAGTGAATGTTATTAAATCTATAATTTTGTCATCCAGGAGCTGCTAAAATAATTCAAGAGGATTTCTCGTATTTTTGATAGTATCAAAAAACTCATTACACCACAAAGAAAACAATTTAGGAATAATTTTTATTTAAATCAGTTCCATCATTTAGCATAAGAGATGTGGCATTACGGTTGTCAATATTTATATGACTATTATCGATGTGCTTAATTTAATAGTTTCAAGAACATCTAGAAAAAGGTAGTCAACTGCTCTACACATCATGGGTGATAAATGTTCAATGCACAGTCATTTTAAAGGTTTTTTTTTTTTTTTTGGTGCCAACATATCAACCTAAACATGTGGGTCATCATCAGGGCTCAAAATTGTTTAATACAATCAGCGATATAATATTATAAGAAAGATAATGATTAATAATGAAAAAAAAATTACTGATGATACATGAAATGGACAAATGGAATATGTAATAAGTTATACAAACTAAAGAATAATTTATATAATCAATTTATAAGAAATGTAATATTTACACTTACTAACCATGTTTCGAGCACTGAAGGTATTCAAGTACCGAAACATTTGGTAAATAAGTAAAAGAGTCGGTGGAGGATTTTCCAGATGTGCTTTTTAAGATAGCAAAGGTAGATAAACAAAATCGGTGGGAGTAGATAACATTTTTGTTTGTAGAATGCAAATAATTTGATAACTAAAATATTCAAGAAGAATACAAGATTTACATTTTTTCATATAGTTAAAAAATTGTGACTATTGTCTTGTAACAAAACAAAAATAAATAAGATATGATAATCAATACAAACATATGTGTTAGTACTTGAATATCTTCAGTGCTCGAAAAACGGTTAGTAAGAGTAAATATTTCAGTTCTTATAAATTGGTTATATACATTATTCTTCAGTTTGTATAACTTATTACATATTTAACTTGTCCATTTCATGTATCATCAATAATTTTTTTTTTATTGTTAACCATTACCTGTCTTATAACATTATATCTCTGATTGTATTAAACAATTTTCAATCCTGATGATGACCCACATGTTTGGGTTGAAACTTTGGCACCAATAAAAAAAACTTTAAAATGACTGCACCTGAATATTTATCATTCAATCAATTAGCTTTATTAAGAGGCTATAATTAATTTTTCTCCAAATTTATCGAAAACTATGACAAATTACTATACAAAGTTGTAGAGCATCAAATTTTGCGTCCAGTGAGTACCAACTAATTTAATGTAGGTCATTTACAATAATCTGTACATTAATAAAATCTGTAATCTCCCGATGGTTAGAAATTGGTAATTAAGTTAAACGTGATTTTCAATATTTCAACAAAAAGAGTTATTTATGTTTAGAGTCTGTTACATGCAGTATATATCTCTTTTCCACCTCTCAGGAGCGAAGGATTTTGATAAATGATGGGTCGAAAGATACTGAATTTCATAAAGGAATAACGACTCCCAATTCAAGATATGTAATTGGCCTAAAATAAAAATGTCAGTAATCAGTGGATGCAAAATTTGATAACTTTCTGCAACTTTGATTTTATGTTTTTTTTCCTCTTTGGGTACTCATTTCCAAGTTACGAGCCCATTCATTGTAATTGTCTCAATTTTAGACAAATTTGGTAAAAATCAGCGTTGGTTGACCATGGTTTTACGTAACCAAATTATAAAATTTATGAACTTATTTAATGCACAATGTAACACTATTTAATTTATTGACGAGTACATTTTTTGCTTTGACGCATTGTTAAGGAGTTATAGGTAAAAAAAAAATTCAAAAAAATCTGACTTTTTTGGCTGCAAAGTTATCCCTTGGTGGCCTGCGTAAGCAATTTTGTTTTTTACATGTCTAAATCCATAAATACAAGTTAAAAAAATAAAAACATTTCTCAATTTTTCGCAATGGATTTCCCGTTTTGATCCTCAAATTACTAGTCTAATATTCTTTAAATCAGCTGCCATTTTTGAAAGCAGCAGCTCTGGAACGGCAGACAAGGTTCTTTTTACTCAGAATAACACACACTTTCGTAATATATAATCAAACATTCTCCTGCGGAGAGGTAGATTTTTTGGCCCTAGCTTCAGGGCTATAGTCAATACTTGTTTTCAAAGTAACTAAAAAGCTATAAGTTAGCAATAATGGCTCTAAAAGATTATGTAGAAGAAATAAGATTAAAAAAGTTACAGAGTGCATTACATCTTTGTCTTAGGCCTACAAAAAAAAAAAAAATTGAACCGAAAATATAATGCCCATAGAACAAAAATTACACAGTATTTTTCTTCTGAAAATTTTTAGTTTTTATTCTTACAGGCATTTGCAATGTGGCTGTATACGATAATAAAAAATGTTCAGTGACTAAGAAATTGTGTTAAATCTTAATTTGAAATAGAATCTCAACTAAAATAAACATTGGTGCCATCACAAGGTGTTAACAGTCCCACTCAACAAATTTCGGTAGTCCATGTACTGAGATATTGATGTTGTTATAACCTGCTTATTAATCATTCATGACACTCGTGGACAAGGAACCAGGATGAGAAATCATTTAAAATAACACATTCAGTTTAAATTACATTAATTAGCTAACACGATATATAAACAGCAAGGCCTTGACAATCACAGAGGATGTGTAGAGACTTTTTTTCATTCTTTAGGCCTATGTATTAGGTGGAATCTTCCATCGAAATCACTTAATAATGGTAAGAGTATAACAAAAACAAAGTAACTTGATAAAATTCTAAAAAAGAAACTAAACAGTTTGGTAAGCCAATGTATTAAAAAGCTACCTGCATTTGATTTATCATCCAGCAACTGGGCCTTAATTAAATCACAGGTCAACTGAATGACTTCTTCTAAATCAGTTTTAAGTTTCAATAATTCTTCATTATCTGGGGAAGTTGTCAAAGCAGCTTCCACCTGAGAAAAAAAGGCAAAACGACATCAGAAAAAAACGATACCAGTTAATCATTCCTAATCCATCAAATTTAAAATTATTATACTCAAAAAGTAATAAATACTATTTTACACTTGACTAACCTGCTGTAATTGAAGTTTATAATTTTGGAGATTGGTTTCTAGTTCCTCCATGATAAAAAAATAAAACAAATTAACATTCACTAAATATTTTTATTTAAAAAAGACTTAAGAGTAGAAAACATGGTAAAAATACACGAGTAAGTTCAATAAATAGGCGTATGTTATTGTATACTTCTAAACGACGAATGATTTAAGATGGCGGCGCAAAGTTAAATTGAAAGAATCTTATTGGTTATATCGATGGATCGATTATAACTTAATCGATAATCATGAAAAAATCAAAGTGTGGTGTTAAGAGGAATAAATTTAAATTAAATAATTTATTTCATTACATTCCTCATCTACCCAAACGGATCATTAGTGACAGAAATTTAAAATTATTTTGAAGCCAATAAATGGTGGAAATATTAAGATATTAATGATTAAGATGATAAATTGAATACCTCAGCAATATGTTTCTTATAAGAATATTATTACAACCATTTGCTAGCAATCATTTCTGACAAAAAAAGCAATGTTAAAAATTAAATATTAATTTTGATAAAATAATGTTGAATTAAAAAAAAATATAATTAGTATTTCTCTAATTATTGGTCAAAGGTAATAATTGTTTTTTATATACTAAGGAAAATGTCTACATAAATGAATTATTAGTTACTTAATTTGTTTTTAAAACACTAATGACATTTCTAAAACTAACTCAGTTATCACCATATTTGTCAGAATTTAATATTATTTCTTTTAATTACTTAGTTCTATTGTCTTTACTTAGTAGTAACAAACAGGTATTTTATTTATGTATTTTAATAGTTAAGATTTACTATATGGAATAAAATTGTTTATACTGTGATAATTCTCATTTTAGGCACTGTTTATACAACCAGATACTTACTATTTATGAGAGGGAAGTAGTCAATTTGATATTCAATCTGATTTGAAATGATAAGTATTCTGTGGAAAATGGAATTCCTATGTACCATTATTGTAGTAGTTTTTGCTTTCTTGACCATCATGTACAGAATTAACAGGTTTAAAACAGTTAAAATTAATAAAGATTCAGTATTTATCACTGGTTGTGATTCTGGTATTGGATTATATTTTGCTAAACACCTAGCATCTTTGGGATGTATGGTGTTTGCTGGGGTATTGGATTTAAGAAGTGCTGGAGTCAATGAATTGCTCGATCTTCATTCTAAAGGAGAAATAAGAATTATTAAGGTTGATGTTACTAACGATGGCAATATTAAGAGTTGTTTAAAAGAAATTGAACAGGAAATAGTTAAGAAACAATTAGGTAAGAATAACTATTTTTTTAATAATAAATTTTATACAGTTCTTATTATAATTTGTATTTATTATTAACGTAATCCAATATTTAATATGTGCTCAAAATTTTAAGAAAATATTCAGTTAACCCACAATTGTAATAGATTTTTATATTAATAATCTCACAAAGATTTTTTAACAGAATAATATATTTTTTAACAAGGAAGAAAAAAGGATTTATTTTAATTAATCTGTTTAATAATTTCAGAACTAATTACAGTTATAAATAATGCAGGTGTGATGGTTTTTGGTGAATTTGAATGGCAAACTGACGAACAGATTATGAAACAAATAAATGTAAATCTTTTAGGCTATATGAAAATTGCCAAGACATTTCTTCCTCTTTTACATAAATTTAATGGTAAATTAATTGACATTAATCAAGCCATTGTAATATTAATTTGTCATCCTATTCAGTTGCAATTTTGTATAAGAATGTTAGAAATCTAAATACTAAAACATATATTATTTAATACAGGGCGTCTTATAAATGTAAGCTCTCACTGCTCATTAGTACCACTTCCCTGTCTTTCAGTTTATTCTGCAACAAAATCTGCTATAGAAGCGTGGTCTTCTTCTCTGGCTCTTGAATTGCATAAATTTAATCTGCCAGTTATAACGATTCTTCCAGGTATTCATACTTTCTATTGTTATTTTTGAATTGAAGAAAATGTAGTTATTATTTTCATTTGAAAATCACACCATATTTAAAATATATATATATTGGTACATTTGCTAATTTTAGGATCATATGTACAACAAAGTGGTATATTAAAAAACCATCAGAAACAAAAAGCAGAAATGTGGCAAGAAATGAGTCTTGATCAGAAAGCATTCCATAAAGGATATTTTGATCCAGTGATGGATTATATGTCTGCTGTATACAATCCAGGACCTATCAATGATCCGGCACTACTTTCAATTCTTAAATCTGCAGTATTTTCTTATAAACCTAAGCAAACCTATATTAATTCACCATGGCGCTACTCCTTATATCATAACTTGATCAATATAGCAGGACCATTTAAAAATCTTAGGCGCTTTTTAATAATGTCTTATATCAGCTTGCCAAAATATAAGTAATGTGTCTTAATATTTCAAATGAATGTTTAAGTGATAGTTTTAGTGTATTCCTTTGTATTATTTACTAATGAAGAATTAAATTTCATCATCAGAATTACTTATTATGTATGATTAACACTTATTATTTTATTAGTGAATTTTTTTTTGTTGATAAATCCACCTTTGTTGTAAATTAAAGTAAATTTCATAAAAAATAGGTTTTAGAGCAGATGTTTCCTACTTATAAGAGCTTGAAGACCACTTATCTAATCTTAGGAATTACAAGATATACTTACTAATAGCAAAAATTCAATTATAAAATTATACAAATGTGAAATGAAGTTATATTTGTAATTTTTGCTTTCTCATTTTTTTTTTAAATAAATAGTTTATGATAGTTTTGAGGGTTATATTTACAACATATTTTTTTTGTAAATTTATTCTTGGACTGTAAGTTAGAAACAACTGTTCTAGAGTTTTTCTTATTTACACTAAAACAAAGGACTTTTAAAAATTAGGAAAATCATTTTATATAATATGATATTAGTACAGTTTTTATTTAGATGATATTTGCAAAGTTTTTGTAAGTTTTCAAATTAATTATCTTAATAAAATTTTTAAAAATTTGCTGATTTTATGTTAATAATATATTATTATGACATTAGTTTAATTACCTAATTAAATTGGCTCAATACCTGATTAAAAAAAAAAAAAAGTATCTTGAGAGTTTCATAACTATTAATTATTTTTCATTTTAAATAAATCATAGTTTTGTTATCTAATAAAATTGTTAAAAAATAAATAAAAATTCCAAAGTAATTTAATCATTTATTCCACATTATTAATGATTTATTAGATAATACTACAAAGAACTTGTTTATTATATTTAATTTTAAGTATAATTAAACTTATGTTTCACTATTTGCAAAACAACTTTAAAAACTGAATATATAAACATTTTAAAGTTTAGAAAAAATAAAAATTTCCTTTTTTTTCTTAGCGATCTACATCACCAAACACAATATCTATAGTACCTGTAAACAAAGAAAGAATTAAGTGATTATTTTGACCATTTAACTAACCATAGCAAAATGTTTTGTTCAACAAAAAATATCTATTTTCTATAATGTGACTAAAGAGCAGTGCTTATTAAATTTTCAAAAGGAATACTAAATTACAAAATATTCAAATAAGTAAGTTATGTTGTAAGTAATCTAGACAATACTAAATGTGCCTTTCAGTTGACAGAATGATTAACTCCAGTTTCAAAAATTTTTGTTATTAATTTTAGAGATATTTCTAGTGGAAAAATGTATACCTTTATTCACAGTTCTATACTTCATGTTGCAATCACCTGCTCTGGAATCAACTTATTGTTTGTACAGAGATTATAAATTTTTCAACTAGAAATATTTAGTGATATTTCCTGAAGATTTGCTCAAATATGTTGAAATTGGAGTTAGTCATTCTGTTAACTAAAAGGCTCAAATAATTTATTATATACATATATTTCAAATAATTTATTATATACATAGCTACCTAACATTGCCACAACATCAGCTAATAAGAGACCCCTCGCTACTTTGTTCAATGCAGCTAAATGAGGATAACCTGGTGTTCTTATCTTGCAACGATATGGTCTTGAACTTCCATCAGATATTAAGTAAACACCAACTTCTCCTACAAGGAAAAATAATATGTTAATAAAGTAATATGTGGTTATAAAATAAGTTTCATTACTTCACTTTTAATTTGTTATTATCTTCTGGTTATTAAATCTTGATCAAATGTACGATGTTCCATAAGTAAAAGGAAATATTTAAAGAGGTGATAGCAGACATCAAGAGCTACGGAAAAGTGTTTATAAGTCATGCTGCGATTTTCTGAAGTAAATTTTAGTTATGTTTTTTGATTATGTCTCGTTTAATGTTGAATTTGAAGTGATTAATATAAAAATTATTTAATGTAGATAATTAATAATTGCTTAATCACTAAACTAGACAAAATTTCCTTCAAATGCAAGTAGATTTTGTCTTTGTTCAAACCATTAAAGAGTACTTTTAAGTACTAAATTCTATTTTTTACTAAACCATGGATTATTCGCTACTTCATTTTATTATTCTCCTGCTTGTAACAGTAACTGTACTTTTAGAAAAACTTCTTTGTTTAATAAGTTTTAAGTCCATAATTTAGTTGTGGTTTGTTGCAGGATAATTTGCGATTCATCTCTTGAGTAAAATTATTGTATGATTAGATATTATATCACTGCAAAGTACCCTTGTTTTAAGCAAAAATAACTATGTTAAATAATGGTAAAGAATTGATTTTTTCTGCTTTTTTTTAATATATTTTTTTGTGCCTGTGTGACCTAGGATGTATTGTAATAAATTAATTATGAAAATACACTTTTTAAAAATAAAAATATGTAAAAACATAGTGTAGGAATAGCTCAGTTATAAAGGACCGGGATTCCTAGCTCCCTGGCCTGGGTTTGAGTCTAGTTGTGGCAAATAATTTATTTATTCTCACATGTCACCTGTGGAGTACTCATAGTTTTTATTATATGGGTACCTGATCCTTCAATGAATTGGGGAGAACTTCCTTACCAGATAATGAACCCAACACTCTACTTGGTTTGTTATAGTATTAGTATTTATCATGTGATACTACTAGTTGTTTTTTTTTTTACTATATAAAAGAAGTTATGTAATGAATTGAAATAACATATTACAGGGCTGTTAATAGATTTTATTGCTTTGCCTAAAAATTAAATAACAATAGTAATACTTACATCAATATTTGTGGTATTTTTATGGTGTTTTAGCATAGTGTAGAATATTTAGATTGAAGAAGGAAGAGTCAACTGGAGGATTCAGAACGTTAAACAACACTGAATTGCGTGAACTGTACCCAGTTAATATAATTGAGGTGATTATATCGTGGTGACTAAAATGAACATGTAAAATTGTTGGACTTAGTAACAAAAGAATCCCTAAAAATTTAATATGTACTCTGCCGACTGGTAAATGTCTGAGAGGTAGACCAAAGCCAAAGTGAGAGGATGGCCTTAAGACTGATCTTGTGGTGTTAGGTTTGATTGGCAGTTAGTGGATGGAAAGATGTAGACAGTAATTGGTGGTATTGGCATCAAATCTTCGGGTTCACAAAGCCTTTTTTGGTATACTATTATTATTAACAACGAATTATGAGAACAGGTTAGCTCATAGCATAAGTCACTGTGCTCCTATTCTTGCAATCCCAGGTTCGAGTCTGGCTGTGGCAGGTAATTATATATTTCTATACATCAGCCGCGGATCAATCATTGGGTCGGGAGACTCTCCTAAGACACACCCAGTCTATATAAAGTGTGTACTTCTTCTTGTCTTAATTAAATATTTAATTAAGAGGAAAACCAGGTGGTTGAGTATGATTTATATGATATCACCTTCTTGCATGACTGTTGACTTAAAAAAAGTACTTCCAAAGTAAAAGGGTGGTAATTTTGTTTATGTTAATTCTGGAATTGCAACTATAACATATGATGTGTGTAAACAATTAATGTTGACTTTATTACCTTTAGGAGCTTCTACTGCTGTGTATGTTGTCCCTGGTGGAACTGAGTAACCTTGGGAAAAGAGCTTGAAATGATGAATAATAGCTTCCATTGAACTCTGTTTCATAAAAAAATTTAATCCTTCAATCTCATTTAATTCTTTAATTTAATTTTAATTTTAATAGTTGCTATATCATCTAACTATTATATAAATAATTGTGGATTGATGGTTGACTGTAGTGAATAATTGAAGAGAAGGATGGTTGGAATGATCAGTCAAAATAAAAAATAGTAAAAATAAATAACTATATTTATTTTTATATTTGCTGAAGTTCAGGACTTCATCAATACCTTTGTCTTTGATAATACCTTTGTCTTTCCACCCTTCTTCAATTGACAAGCTCTGATGAAGACCTGAACTTCGGGCCAAAACGCCAGCAAAAATAAAAATAAATATAGTTATTTATTTTTTATATTGACTGATCACTCCAACCATCCATCTCTTCTATTATATAAATAATCTAATTCTTAAACTTAGTTTTTATATTATTCTAAGTTAAAAAATTAAAAAATAATTTTTATGCAGTTAAATTATTTAGATGACAACACAATGAGAAATAAGAAAAAAATATAAAAAAATAAATGGATTACAGGTTACTTTGAATAAAAAAATAAATAATTTCAATTATTGAATAATTATTACATAATGTAAATTCAAAAAACAGAATATTATTCAAGAAAAGTTATGAAAAACAGATATTTATTTTTTTTTTGGTATTTCTGTTTACCTTCATTTCAGCTCTATGTGGTGGACAAACTTTTGCATCATCTGTTTTTACTTCTCCTTCAGGCATTTTATTCAAGCATTGCAAGATTATTTTACATGACTCTCTCATCTCATCAACTCTGCACAGAAACCTATGCACAGCATTTTTACAAAGACTATTATATTTTCATGAAATTAATTATAAAGATACTTATTTTCAAAAACTATAAAACAATGAAACATTAAATATCTAAAATATTTGTAAAATACTACACATTAAAATCATAGAACTTATTGTCCTCTTTCTAAAGAATAATTATATATTTTTAACTTGCTTGTGTAGTGGTTATATAATATGATTGTATGATGGTTTCATATATATATATTTTTTTCGGCTTTGTTTTTTCGGTCTCGGGCAGCATGGCTATCCCAGCCCTATATGTGTGTGTGTGTGTAATTAATTAAACTACAGATGGATATTTAAATCATTTATACATACATACATATATACATGCATATATGTGTGCGTGCGTGTGTGTGTTTGTGTGTGTATTAATGACCCAAATATCCTTCTGTAGTGTAAGCCACAGTCTGAAGTTCTATTTAAAAAATATAAGTGTGTATATATATATATCTAGAACATGTATTCACTTTTATTTTTGATAGAGGTTGACTTTACAAATTCTAATATGGAACTTGCCTTAAATAATCATTCCCTCCACTTAGAATCCACCAATGATCTTAAGATCAAAAACTTGTTATTTAGGGAGAAAGCATAATTTATTCTTATATTTACAAAATAAATAATAATAAAAATAAATGTAAACTGACCTGTCATAGGAATCCCCTTTGACACCAACAGGAACGTCGAATTCAAACTGATCATATACATCATAAGGTTGAGCTTTTCTAAGATCCCATTTGACACCTGAACCACGTAGCATAGGACCACTTTGGTAAAAACATAATGAATTAAAATTATTTTAAAATTAATCTATGATAATTAAGTTATCTTAGATTAGAGATGATGAGATGAGCCTTATAAGTAAATTTTATTCAGGGAAGTTCATCATGCTTTTGGGAGAAACATCTGTAGGCAATTTCAGGTTCAGAAATTGGTCCAAGTGATGGGAACCAATGGCCTGTATTTTAGGAGTAAGTTTGAAAGGTCCATTATATATACACAAGGATAGACAAGGTGACAACGGATCGGGATAATAAGAAGTCGTGATGGCCGAGTGTGTTGGCAACCAGAAGATTATGAGTTTGAGATTGTGTTGGGGCAGTTGACACAGGTAATAATCCTCTACCATCTCCTCAGATGCGGGAAAATCCACGAAAAGGCAAGGTATGAGAGAAAAGAAAAAAGGTAAATATAATGAGAGACCGTGGTGGATGTGGCTGTTAAGTCATCTCAATTCTGGCTAAGCTGGTTTAAATCTGGCTTGGGCATGTTGAAATTTATTTTGTGGGTCAGACCCAAGTTCTATAAAACTAACAGTTTCGCTCATTCAGAGTGAAAATGGTAGGGAGGAAATAAGCTCTGGCGTAAACACTAGACCACTATTACCCCTCCAGCCATTGTTTATGGACGTTTTAAGATTATTACTTAGCTTTCTATATGAAATATTTAACGTACAATAACTTATATAAGTTAATAATAATGTAAGTAATAATAAATTAAAAAGTGAGAGAAAGGTTTATTTGTTATTCTGTTTATTTTCAAGCAATTATGTGTAATTTAACAAGTTGATTTTTTTTTTAAATATAACATTCTTATGTCATGAGTAAAACTACTTTGTGATTTTTTAATTTTTTTTTTTTTAATTGCTGTAATCTTCTTGCGGTATTTAAAAATTTTATTCTTACAAATACATGTTTTTGAAAAATAAATCTTTACTATCTCTTCTTCAATTTCTACATTTTCCTTTCTAAGAAATTGTTTTCTTATATTTAGTACAAAGTGGTCCAACTTCCAATAATAGTTATATCATCATGAGGACCCTATTAGAAAATTAACAAACTATGGGACAAACTAATATATAAATGGTTATTTAACTAAACTAGTATTTTTACTTCTTGTTTTTTATATTTTCCATCTGCTGTCGGTATCAATGGTAATAAAATGTATAGATTGGTTTAGCAACAATGTAGCTGATGGTTACATTAGATAATTGTGTTTCTCAAATTAGTTTTTGAAATGTCTAAATGTACCTTGAAATATACAAGATACATGAACAACGAATTATTAAAAACATATTTAAAGAAATACTCGTTATATTATTATAATTATATCCTTATACTGTTAAAAGAAATACTCGTAAGATTTTTTAACAAAATCACAACACAAATGGTGCTAGAATTTTTATTTGTTCCTTGCCTATTATTCAATGTAAGTGACTTTGAAATAAAGAATTTTAAAATAATCGTAATATCAATGTCTCTCTTTCCATTTTAGGTCTAGCCTGTGATTTTCATAACATTTTATCCTAGGTTGCAAACCGTATTTATTTATTGAATATTTAATAGTTGACCGTTGCATTATAAAGGAAGGAGATGGTCGGGGGTTGCGGTCATAAAAAGGCTAAATAGTGGTAAAACTATTTTATTGAAAGCCAACGTTTCGACCCGACTTTGCAGGTCTTCATCAGAGCTAGAACGGACAAGATACAAAAAGATAGAGAATTGTGGCAATTACATAATATTTAGACTCCATAATGTTAACTCCCCCTATACCTGCAATCCTTACCGCTGCCTTTCCAGTTCTAAGTGAAACTCCTAGAGGAACACACCTGTAAGTCTCTAATCTTATTTTTTTTTCTCCTGTAGATTTTGTAGAATTATACTCACATTTTCATTTGTTATATATTACACTACAACAATTGTTAGCATCTATTTACTTTATTTTAGGATCTTGTTACTCAGCTTACTTAGTCCATATTTTATTGTACTTACTGTTTATAATTCTAATAAGCTTATTCACATTGTTTATAAATTATGTCTAAATATTATGTAATTGCCACAATTCTCTATCTTTTTGTATCTTGTCCGTTCTAGCCCTGATGAAGACCTGCAAAGTCGGGTCGAAACGTTGGCTTTCAATAAAATAGTTTTACCACTATTTAGCCTTTTTATGACCGCAACCCCCGACCATCTCCTTCCTTCCTATTTATTTATTTATCTACTTGGAATCCTCTTCAATCCAACGTCAACAACCCTCGAGAGTATTCTCTTCAATAAATTAAGTAGGAGAACAAACAAAAAAAAGTACAATAATATTCAAATAAACCTTCAGTGATAAGTTTGAAAGAGCAATAGGTAGGTTTGGCGGTCTAGTCTTTACGACACGATTGAAGTACTCCCCACTACCCATTTCTGAGGAAGTGAAGCTGTTAGTTTTAGAGACCTTATGGCAGAAGGGTAACTCTCAGAAAAGTAACTTGGGAATAGTTGATTAGATCAATTACAGATAAATGAAAAGTAAAGTGTTTCAATTAATGAACATCTCTTTGTTTATAAAACATTTAATATTGACTCTCAATAAAATATTATAAATCTATTTGATAACTAATATTATATAAATTGTAATTTATATCTTCTTATACATATATGTATAAACATAATGTTTCTTACGTTAGTCCCAAATTCAGTGCATCCTCAGCATTGTATACACCAACATCAATCAATCTTTCTTTGAATATTCTATTATCTGTGAACATGTCCTCAAGCTCATCTATTCTTTCCGGAAATTTTTTAATGAAATCATATATATCCTCCAATAGCCCTAAAGGTATATCCTTAAAAATTAATAAAACATTAATCTTTTTACACATGGTACACTCTCGAGATGTGCATTTCATTGATTATTTCTCATGATTAACTGAATTTCTATAGAAGAAAAACATTCAAAGTAATCTTTCTCCTTATTTAACATGATCAGATTTCAACACTAGTAAAGGGGGACACCATTGACAAGGAGGGGAGGAGGATGGTCCAAATTTGTTGTTACAATAATTTTTTTTTGAAACTTATTTATTCAGAATTATTACAATCAGTCACAATTAAGGACATTTATAATATGAAATGAAAATATTTTTTTTTATCGTCCTGGGACTGTTGTCCCTTTAGGACAAATTATAGATACAGAATAAATACCTGTGTGGCCATACATAAAATTAATTATTTACAATTCTTATTAAGATTAAAATATTGGAAAAAGAATAAAACAATAATAATAAAAACATACTGATATGTATAATACAAACGTGGGAAAATAAAATAGCATAAGTAAAGAAAATCATTTCTGGGAAACTTTAAAAAGTTCTCTTATCTACATTTCATGATCAATCGGGTTGGGAGTAGGTGCTTAAAAAGGAGAGATTTAAATGAGGAAACTGGTTGTACATGTCGGATATCTGCAGGGATGGTATTCCAGAAGGAGATGGCTTGAATTATAAAGGATTTATCAAACACAGGAGTTAGGTGAGGAGATGGAAAGAAGTCAGAGTTACGAGATTGGTGGGACGGGATTGAATGGAATATTTAAATTGTAGGCTGTGAAAAATGTAGGCAGGCCGCCGAGTTCTGATGGCTTGGTAGAGAAAGGTAGCAAGGAAGTACAGACGGCAGCTGGATGGATAGAGCCACTTCAACTTGGTATAATACTGGGTTATATTATTTATTTATGGCTCCCTTCCTTGCCTTTCGGCTACACGGGATTTTGCAGGGATGACATATCACACATGTGCATGCCATTCCTGCTATTAATACTGGGTTATATGCGTATCTCTTGAGATTCCGAAAACAAAACATATTGCGCAGTTCATTAGGCGTTTAAGTTTGGCCTCGAATTCTCCCGAGAGTCCACCATAATGCTGTTCAGAGACCACATTCACACTCTGTTTACAATAAACGATACAGAAAAATAATAATACTAAAATCAAATCTATATAAGCAAAAGAACTAAACTAAAATCAAAATAACAAATAAAACACGAGCATACTTTTATACAATATTTACAGAATCCATTCACTCAGGTGAACACCAAGCCAAGCCTTTCTCCCCTCTAGTGGAGACATAAAGGCAGGACTCTAGGAGATCTCAGGACCTCTTATTCAGTCCCATTACTGGTATTTAGTGTTGCCCAAAATCGGTCTTGGTCTTGTACTTTGCAAGACCAAGACCAAGACAAGGTATGGTACCAAGGAATGGTAAAAAAAAAATCGATTTTTTAAATTAAAATTAAGGCAAAATAGTTACTAATACTTAACAATCTTAGTTACTATATGTTAATAATTGGTATAACCAATACTTTTGCATTTAACTCCTCTTAATTTTTCATTCGGGCTTAGTCAAGTTTCTCCTATCTAAAAAATTACAGTAATATCTCTGTAGTAATAAGCTAACAAGTAACTGCTAGACTGTCTGGCGAGACTCTTGTGCAAGACCAATACCATGACCAAGACTGAGTTTGCAGGACCAAGACTCGTCTCGGTCTTGCATTTGGGCAACACTACTAATATTAAGGGCCAGTAGAGGCTGAGCAGAGGCACAATAATCACATATACATGGCTTAGTGGAGAATTTGGCCATTGCCAAAACTCTAATATATGCTTATTCACAAAAGGTCTCTGGGCCACTGCCACAATTGAGAGCAGACAACATGGTTGACCATGTGAATTCATGGTTCTAGAACTCCATTGTTGCTGCTGTCAAGATGAAGAGATGTCCTAAGGAGTTGAGGAGAAAACTGAATTGGGCAGTGGATACGGATCAGTAAGAAAGCAAAAATCCAGACTTATCAAAAACACTGGGCGCGGAATAAATTGTTAAAAATCGGGACTGTCCAGCCAAAAGAGGGACGTCTGGCCACCTTATCCTTGATACAATAAATAAATCTCTTTATAAGTTTATTTTCATAAGCTAGCATTTAATAGTGAATAGTGAAATTTACTCTAAATTCATACTGAGTAGAAAAAAAAAATCATAAATTTTAGTATTTTAAAAAAAGAATACAGCATTCTAGAAAAATAAATGTTATAAGCAGCAAATCATAGAAGTATAAAACAAATAAAAACAATATTTAAATACCATTTTTAACTTTTTGGTTCAACATAATTAGTTTTTGATGATTTTTTGCTTTCACATAACCGTATTTTTATGGAAGATTAAAACAAAATTGTGATGAGAATCAAAAGTTTTCACTCACGTTTTACGTTTTAGACATGAAGGAAAAAATTAGTTACTCATCTGTCTGCCTGCAGATAGTTAAATATATTTGACTGTGATATCAACTACTACTTTTAATCCTATTGATTTTGATGGAATTTACGTGGATCGTTTGGGTTAATATCTGGATAATCCCACATCAATTTGATCAAATTCCGGATGTGCGGATGAGTTACTTCTGATTCGGACGCGCAAACGTATTTCCTACGCCAGCATTTAAAAAATGGTTCATACCACTAGCGGATCCAGGATTTAATTTTTGGGGGGGGCTTCAGCCCGGAAGCTTTTTTTTCATATATATATAACGATAATTACTTTAGAAAAACAGAAAGATACTAACTATCTATATGAAATGGTGTTTAAGTAATTCTTGAAGTCCTATTAAATGTAATTAAACGAGCAATAATACTTTAAGACATAATTTTTTAATATTTTCTACCATAAAACATGGTTACATTTTACCATTTTGGGGGGGGCTTCAGCCCGAAAGCTCCCCCCTCCGTAAATCCGCCTGTGGTTCATACAATATGACCCAAAGTATGAGGAAATTGGAGATAATGTACAAATGGTCTATACTTTCTATTACGTTCTGTACAAACAAAATTACTTTTTAATCTTAATATGATTTTTTCCTATCAACAGGGCCGTGGAGAGAATCCGCGGGCCCCAATGATAATGTTTCCAGGCTCCCTTCAAATATTTGTATTATAATAGGATGTATAAAAAAAATAAACCTTTTTAAACCAAATATTTGTATTATTATTATTATTCCGTTGATTTAAAATACAATTAATACTCGAAGTATAGTCCATTGTTATCTACCGTCATTAGCCATCTGCTAGCAATTTTCTTGATCCCATGCTGATACCATTATAAAAGGACTTTGGGGTGGCTGTCAAAGAACTTTTGGACCGCAGTTTCAACTTCCTCAAAATTATCAAATGTTTTCCCTTGAAGAAAAAATGGATCTAAATATGTAGTAATCCGATGGTACATGGTCTGGACTATATGGTGGATGAGGCAGGAGTTCGAACCCATGACGTTCTTTAAACTTTTCTTTGATTTGACGGGAAGTGTGCGGACGAGCATTATCTTGTTAGAATAAAATTCCTTTTCGGTTGATCGAAGCATGATAACGCTCTGACAACTTCGCCTACAATCTTTCCAGTTGTTTGCAGTAGAGTTCAGAATTTATAGAGCATCCATCAGGAACAAATTCGTGAAGAATAACACCTTCAAAATTCCAAAAAACGCAAAGCATGGATTTTGGAACGGAAAAGCAGTTTGAAAGCGTTTTAGCCATTGCTCACGAATATTCGGATTCCGCCAATAAACACGTTTTTCGTCAATCAAGGTGATAATCTTCCGGTAATATCTCATACCAGAAGGGTTTTTAAATATTTTCACAAATCTCTAACCTCTTAGCTAATCGCTGAGGAGTAAGTTCGTGAAGGACCAATCTACTGCTTTTTTTCGCCTTCCCCATGGAGAGTAGATGGTGACTAACAGCATCTTTTGACACACCACACTCCCTGGCAAGTTCGCGAGTACTTTTGGACGGATTTGATTCAACAGCTTTCCTCAGAACCTCATCAATATCCATTAATGGTCGCCTAGAGCCCTTCTTCCTTCCCAACGTCGTATCTCCACTGCTAATTTTTTTAAACCAACGCCGCTCTGTGCGCTGGTCAAGGACACTTTCTCCTTCATATTTAATAATTTCACAAATTGTTTTATTTAGCCGCCGTGATTTTTTTCATCCAAGTAATGCCTTAAAATTACGAGAATTTCGTAGGACACTGTCATGTTTCATCTTTGAAACAAATAACTAAACTGACTAAACAAGCTTAGAAAATGCTCTAAAGGGATTATTAAGTATTGGTAAGTATTAAATAGGATTAAAACATTTACAGTCCTTTGAAATCTTGAATTTGATAAAACGGTCATTTCTTCTAATAAATCCTATTGTTTACAACTAAAAACCAACATCGTCCTTTACAATGTACAAAACTAGAATATTATTTAAAAATATTGCGTTATGATTATATAATAGATGTTATTTTATCTCTATATTATTTTAGATGTTAAAAAATATAACCATTGTAGGTCAGCCCGAGCCTCTTTTGGGAGCTCGGAACCCGGCTATTACCATTCCCGTCGAATCTGCATAGTAAAACTATTTACTTAAAATGGGCACCTAACAATAACGCTACATCCGAGAAATCGTTATAAACAGAAGTGTTATAACAAAGTTTACATTTAATACATCAATAGTTATGCAGAGAAGAAAATGTAGTCCTGCTCAACCACAGGCTCCTACCTCAATCGCTTTTATCGGATGCAAAGAAGAAAAACATGGAAATGGATAGCAAGAGAGAACGAAATGTTAGCAACCTCCAGAGATCTAAACAAGCTGCCAGAGAAAGAAGCCGAGAGGAATAGGAGAATGAACTGGCTCATTACATGTACTATAATTGTGTAATTAAAGCCAACAGCCAAAAGCAATTCTTAAAATTGAGAAATTGAAATTCATTTCAGATCACTCTGCTGTATGTTTCTAAATTTTTGTATTCTACGTCAGAGGTGCCCAGAAGAGGGTTTCATGGCCCAAGTTAAGCCATCAAAATTTTTGAGGGAGGCACATTTTGACGGGATTCTGAAGTGTTTGAGGGAACATATTTGACGAGGTTATGAATTTTCGGAGCAAAACGTTTCAAACCAGGGGACTAGGGGGGGGGGGGGAAACATGGACCAGACCAAAGCAAGTATAATAGATGATGTCTGATTTACAATTTTTCTAATTATACTTTCGCTTGCACTGTTTTTAAGAGGAGCAGACCAATAACATTTCTTGAGAGTGGGGAAAGGAGTTCATGTGCCATTGCCCTAGGGAGGGATGGGCACCTCTGTTCTACGTATATTGTTATATGTATATTTTAAATATTCATTAAACGTTAAATCCCAAATTTGAAAAGATTTTTTTCTTGGTTGATCACAAAGATTTTTTATTGGGAATAATAAACGAAAAGAACCGCAAACATGTGACTTGATTATGTACCAAAATATCATTCCAATTCCAGTCCTGTCTGCTCATTTTGTTTTGTCATTAGGCCAATTGGGAGTCTGTTTGTAAAGATATTTGTAGCCAAGATCACATATTTCCTGCATGAATATACGTAAACTATCGTCATGTAAGTTCTTACACCAAGAAAATGCATTCTGGAATGATGAAGTTCTAACAGAAAAATTCTAATATTCAAAATGATATTAATAAGTCAGTTAACAATTGAGTCAGTGCCGGCCTTTGACTTTTGGCGCCCCCGAACAATGATATCTTACCGCCTTCCTAAAAATATTAAATTTATTTCTTAAGCTGTCTTATACTATGTAACATTTGAATTTTATTCCATTCAATATTTCTCTAATAAAGTTGCTTTATTGATAGGATAATATTAATTATTTTAATAAGATTTGTATATTTTTTTAATTTCTAACAAATGGCAAATTTCTAAGAGAGTAAGTAGTTTTTTTCTTTTACAACTGATATTCTCTAACCTGTGAAACACCACCAGGTCTTATATATGCTGCATGCATTCTAGCTCCACATACTCTTTCATAGAATTCCATTATCTTTTCTCTTTCTTCAAACATCCAAAAAAATGGGGTGATGGCCCCAATGTCTAGCCCTTGCCCTGTTAAAGCAAGCGCGTGATGTAGAACTCGTGTGAGCTCTGCAAATAGTACTGCAAGGAGAAAAAAAACCTTTAAATGTAATGATACGAAATTTTAGGAATAATCAATGTGTTTATGTTTACCTCTGATATACTGTCCTCTTATTGGAACAGCAATATTTAGTAATTTTTCGACTGCTAACGAAAAACAGAGTTCATAAGCCATTGGTGATACATAATCAAGTCTGTCGAAATAAGGCAAAGCTTGAGTATACGTCTTGTACTCAATCAATTTTTCAGTTCCCCTATGAAGAAATCCAACGTGAGGATCTGCTCGAACGACAACCTGCATTTATAAAAACAATCAATTGATAGGAAACGATAAATTTATTTAGACACTAAAGAGAACACAAACCTCTCCTTCAAGTTCTAAAATAAGTCTTAGCACCCCATGGGCTGATGGATGATTGGGGCCCATGTTGATAATCATGTTCCGAATGCATTTTTCTTCACTTGGTACTTCACCACTCCAATGTTCAATTTTATATTTTGTCGGATCGTCACAATATAACAGTGGTCCTTGAAATTTTTTCATATATTCTATGTCTGGATACCATTTATCTGAGTACTTATTGTTTAAACTAAAAAAAAGTTTTACAGATGCTTTATAATCGTTAACAAATATGCTAATAAAACTCTGGTTACAACACGTCTTACGTCAGGAAATTGGCTGAAATCACATCTTTCAAAAGTTTCTTAAGACATGTTTTGTTAACAGTGGTCATTTTTAAACTTACTGTAAACATTTTATTTAATTCAATACACTGTAGTTAATACAGTATAATAAACCCAATGGTGGCAACCTTTGCTCGCTAAATAAATACAGAAAGAATTATTATACGTTACAAGTATAATAATAATTATAAATATTTTTAAAATTGGTATTATAAACAAAATATAAAGTTATTGTTATTTGTAGTTTAATAAACATTTTTTTTATTTTAATTGTTTGTCAAAGTTGGCTACCTTTAATGATAACAGTTGTACACGTGACCCTGCTTTAAACCTTCTGGGCGACTGCCCTGATTGATAACTGAAACATCTTTGGTTTAAGCTGTGTCACCCCTATCACAATAATGGCTCCAAATTTTAAAGTCCATGCAGCTCCTCCAACTCAAGATGATGTCCTAACTAGTAAAATAGGAGCCGTTTTATTAGGGCCACCAGGTTCGGGTAAAGGAACAGTGGTAAATACTTTTGGTTAATAGCCATTTCAATTCATACACATTATTCTTTTTTTTCGCATTTTCCTTTTTATATTTTAATAATTAACCTTTAGATTTATAATAGACTCTCAAAACCAACTAGAAGTTGCTATTTTTATAAGGTACTGTACATTTTATTACTCTTCTTGTTTAACTTCATCTTCTGCTTATTAATTTTTTTAGGCCCAGAAATTAAAGGAAAATTTCTGTTACTGTCATCTTTCCACCGGGGATATGCTTCGGGCTGAAGTTTCTTCTGGTTCTGAGCTAGGAAATACAATTAAACATTGTATTGAGCAAGGTACTTTAATCTCATTATTAAATATGGAACTATTTTCCGTTTTCAATATTTACAGAATATTAAGTCCTGTATTTCTACTGTTGGGCCTGCATATAAAACCTTGACTCTATTACTCAATACATTGATTAGTTTGGCGTATGCTATAGGTTATAATTGATTTTTGTTATAGCAAAAATTAAATCAAAATTTATTACTCTCAGAAAAAAGAAAAAATTGACCTGGTTTCATAATTTCAAGGACATGCTAATACAGTAAAAAAGTAAAAGTATATTTTATTGCATTGAAATTATTCTCTGAAACTTATGTTTCAAACATTGCCTATTATTATTTTATTTAAATAATATTCTATTTTGTTGTATTTGAAGTGTTTTAAACTGCTTTTATTTATTGATTTGGTTTATACATTTTTATACTTAGTTATTATGTTGCTGATATCTTCAATACCTTTGTTACTTAATAATTAATTACTTATTCTTTTTCTGAAGGTAAGCTTGTAACAGATGAAGTTGTAGTTAAGCTTATCGACTCTCAACTTGACAAGCCTGAGTGTTCTAATGGATTTCTCCTTGACGGCTTTCCAAGGACAGTTGTTCAAGCTGAAAAAGTAAAAATCTTAAAATATTCTTGATTATTTAATAACTAAGTTCATAACCTTTTATATTTAATACTACTAAGTTAATACTAAGTCTTCTTCAGCTTTATAGCATTTTGGTTATTGTTTTTGTAAATGTTTTCTGGAAAGCACCTGTTTACATTTGAATTCATACAGTTTAGGTTAGTCTACAAATTAGAAAAAAAAGAAGTAAAATATTCGTTTAATTTTAAAATGATATTTCTTTATTTACTGCCAATAATTACAAATATCTAATGTTTATAGATTTAGGCTGAATTATTTTAATAATAATAATTCCTAACAATAATAATTCCACCATTTGAGCTAATAGTTATTGAATCATTTTTTTAGCTCGATGAACTTATGGAGAGACGGAAGACGAGTCTGAATGCTGTGATAGAATTTAGTATAGATGATTGTCTCCTTGTTAGACGAATTATAGGTCGTTTGATTCATCCACCATCTGGTCGTTCTTACCATGAAGAATTTATGCCTCCAAAGGAACCAATGAAAGATGATGTTAGCTTATGTTATTCAAGTTTTATTTGAATATAAACATAAATAGTTTATAATAACTGACAAATTTGGCTGATATATATTTTTTTTCCTAGGTTACTGGGGAACCTTTAGTTAAAAGAACAGATGATAATGCAGAAACTCTAAAACAACGTTTATCATGCTATCATGAATTAACACAGCCTCTTGTAGATTATTATAAAAAAAGAGGTAAATATTTTTGCTTTTTAGGAATGAGTATTTAATATAACTGAGATTAGTGATTTCCAACTGGCAGCCTGTGAGGCTATATTTTTCAATCCATGAAAGTACATTGAGTTTTTAGAACAATATTATTATTTACATTTCTTATTTTTTCGTTTATCATTATTTATTCGTCGAGAAATTATTTGTGTATAGAAATAACGAAAAAATTAAGTTATTCTTAAAGCAACACATAAGGTGTGAAAAATTCTTAATATACTTCTTAAATTTCAGGATAAGGGTATTCTTAAATGTTAATTAAGATCCCATATATCCATTACATAAAACATCACAACGTAGAAAACAAAGACATTAAGTAAAACTCAATTTTTAGTCAAAATAATAAAGAACAATTCCCTTTAGAGTTATTTATTATTTGTAGGAATGTTTTGATTCTTCAAAATATAAATTCATTATACAAGATTATTTTTATTTTAGTTTAGTTTTCCTATCCCTGCGGTCTAGAATCATGTTTGTGTATTTGTATATATATGAATATATATTAAATAGGACCATTTTTTTTTTAAATGGTTATCCTTCTGTAGGAATCAAATGCTTTTTTTACTCCTACAAGAATAAATAGGATAGGTTATGCTAGAAGTCATTTATTTTATCTAACTGTTATTTACTTATTACTTTAAACTTTATTAATGTTCATTAAAGAAATTTTGACTGAAATTTTTGACAATTTTGTTTCATGCTTATAATTCATCAATCAACTACTTAACGTTATTATTTTTACCAAGTGGGCCAATATGTTAAATCTTCAATTTGTTTTTTTTTTTAATCATTTGATTTTTTCCTATTTTTCTTTATTCTATATTTGTGGCTTGATTACTCAAATGTTTAATTGTATGATATGTACTTTTTTTGCCTGTTGGATCATTTTTCTATGTAGCAATAATATTTAAAGTGCCTCAGAAGCATTTTTTTTTCTATTTTAATGTTGGTTTAACTTTTCAGGTATTCATCATAAAATTGATGCTTCACTACCAGCGCCTCGAGTTTATTCTCTAGTTGAAAGTATATTTTATAAATGTATGATTTCTGAAAGGAGACAGGGAGCTAGAGCCAATGCCTAATTCTGAGGCACTTATTCAGAATTGGCCTGATTTGGTTATTGTTGATTAAATCGATTTAGAATTTAAAATGGACAATGAATCTGACATAGAAAACCAACATTGTTCACTCTCCATAATACCGGTGGTTTGAAAAACATAAGTGCATTTTTGAGTTAACATAGGGGTGGTATCAGCTTAAAATAAAATTGAGTTGGAAGGTATTGATTTTGTTTAAACACTTAATGTACTTTATTATTTTTAAATTATTTCCATGACAAGACCCAAGAAACTCATTCATATTTGGTTCTTTACTCATTTACATTAAAGATAAATAATTGTAGAATTATGATTTAAAATTTTATTGAATCGGTCTAATTGCTGTAATATAATATTGCATTTAACACAATTCATTAATGTTTTGTGGATCATGCATTTAGTGAGATAGAGAATATAATTGATATAACGTACAAATCAAGTTAAGAATCATTAATTTGATGCAGCATTTAAAAATAAATGACATTCCTCTCTGGTAGTGATTTATTTTCTATTTTAATTTATGTTCCTTTATTGTACTATATTCTTAAATTGGCTATTTTGAATTTAATTTATAAGAGGAATATTTGATTATATAATAAATTAAATTTGATGATTTCCTAATAATTTGTCCTGATCTGCTTTTAAAATTAAAAAAAAAATTGTTATTTTAATGTCCATTTAGTTTTACTCTAGTGAAATTTTATTCTAAATTATCAAATTTTATTGAAGGTTTTGCCACTGGTTTAACACATATCATTTATGTATGTTTGCATTTATAGATGGAATTTAATTATACAATTTATAAGTAAACATTTTTGTTTTTAATTCTAAGTTCAATACAATAATTAGTGTGTTGAATGGACTAAGGGAGTAAAAGTGTCATTATTTTATGCATTCATTAACTGTAAAAATGTCTATTTATATGTACACTTCCACTTTCTTCAGATGGATCGAATAGTCTTGAGGTACTGTTTAAACCCCCAAACTAAAGATTATTTTAAATGATTATCAAGGATAAATAAGTCTCTCCTGGTGTCGGTATACTCAATTTTTTGCTTCCTTTATAACGCAACATTTCAATGAGTTTGACTTATATTCTACATATCCAATATACATATATATTTTTTTTTTAATTTAAGAAGTAAATGCCATTGCTCCAATAATGAAAAGATTTTTAAAAAAAGAAAATAAAGTTATCGATGAACATTACCAATTGTCAAGAATTAAGCTAACTAAAAAGTCCTATCACTACAAAAAAAAAGGTTGTATTATATAAAGTTGAAGATTCATCAAATAAAAATTTAAAAAATGTGTTAATATTAAAAATGACTTCTTTTTGTTGTAATTTAAAATCCATTTTTGTGTATTAACAATTTAACATCTATTTTTTTTTTTTTTTTCAAAATTGTTGGATTGATTAAATGCAACCTACTGTAGGTAATTTCACAAATCTGTACCTCAGAGGTAAAAACGGTCAGTTGTCTACGATAATTACAAAGGTAATAAAATGCAATTTCAATTTCTTTATCTTTATGGAGACCAAAGGTCAAATCGACAATGATAACCTCAATGACAATGATAAATGTGCTCAGTTTGAGATTTTACTGTAAAACACGTTTAATGATGTCCACAAGCTGAAAAATGACTGATTTGTATCATTTCTTAGGAAATGTTAATGTAAGTTTATGTCCTCAGTAATGGGTGTTTAAAGATGAGTATTTTTATTTTTTGCTTGGCACAATTTCCTGTCATGCCAAAGAAACTGCTTCTTCATATTCAGAAACACAATCATCCCAAGAGATGGATAATTATGGGTATCTCTCAAGACATTCCAACATATAGTTTTGCTTATGTAGAAAATAATGAAATTGAAGTAGTGGATATCATCAATTTTCCATGCCTTCTTTGATAACATTCTCATGCAAAGAAGAAAATGTTATTCCTGAATTTATGTGAAAAAATGCTTGTTCAATCAAGTACACCAACAAAACTTTTCATTTAATTTATTTTTTTTAATGAGTTTATTTTCACTGAGCCTTTAATGTTTTTTTATTTGTAAATAAAAACAAATTACCTATCAAAGATTTTCAATATCTTAAGGTTATTTTTTAAAACATTTTTTATTTACTTAGGCTTATATATGTATCATTCACAGTAATTTTTAATGAATTTGTATGAACTTAAAATAGTTTTATGATTTTTTTGACAGTAAAAAGGTCGAAAGTCCATTAATATCTTATTTATTTTTTACTATTGTTAATTTCAATATTATAGGCCAAATCTGACCGCTACAAAAAGTTATGGGAAAATTATGAGCTATTTGTAAGGGAAAAAATCGCATTTTTCCATCTGAAAAATTTCATGAATATTACAATTAACCTTATATGCATTAGATTTAGAAATATATTTGTCTTTATTTATAAAATTTTTACCTTGAAGACACCTATTAGAAGATCTTAAGTTAGGTACAATCAGGGGTGCCCAGAAGAGGGTTTCATGGCGCAAGTTGCGCCATAAAATTATTTGAGGGATCATATTTTGACGAGTTTTTGAATTTTTGATGGGGGCAAATTTCAATGGGTTTATGGAGTTTTGGACCGAGGGGCAAGAGGAAAGCTAGTAACAGATCGCAGAAAATGTAGTTGTATATGATCTCCGATTTTTCTAATTCTACCTTAGCTTGCTCTGTTTTTAAGAAAAGATGAACAATAAAATATTTTAAATATCTTGGGAGGAGAGAGGTGGGATTAGATCACACTCCCTGGCCCGGGGAAACCCCCTATTGCCTAACCCCCCCCTCTCCCAAAAAAAGTCATGTATGAAAACTATAATGGAGGATTGAAAAAATGTCTAAGGAACTTTGTTCTTAAAAGAAAAGTTGGAAGACAAATCAATACCGATAATCGGCTCTCGATATTGATGGCAGAGAAAACAGGATTGATCCAAAGTATTTTTCTCAATAGCTCAAGCTTTGTACAATATAGATATTTTAATGGAACTGTGTACAAGAATATATGAGTTGCTAAAAAGATAAAAAATAAAGTTATTTGGAATTTCAGGAAATCGAATGACAAAGTAGGAAGAGCTATATCTCTAAACCTTGGGGCCTTCATTATTCCTGAACACTAAAGGATCCAGAATTTAATTTTGGGGGGGGACTTCAGCTGGAAAGATTTTTTTTCATATGTATATAACAGTAATTAATTAGAAAAAAAAAAGAAATGAACTACCTATATGAAAAGGTGTTTAAGTGGCTCTTGAAGTCCTATTAAATGTAATTACACGAACAAAAATAGTTTAAGAGATAGTTTTTAATATTTTTTTCTGTAAAACATGGTAATATTTTACCATTTTTTGGGGAGGGGGCTTCAGCCCGAAAGCCCCCCTGTAAATACGCCTGTGTTCCTGAAATATGTATAGCGGTTGGGGAATACATTGCTCACAAGGACATGTTCAAGGTCGATTGGGTTGCTGAGGCTTTCGGGAAAAATACATTAACTATGATTGCGAACAGCAACAAGAAACTAAGAATCTTGACCGACAGCATTGTTGCTATCTGCACCTCAGCTGCTCTCAAAATCGAGAGTCTAACGAAGAGGGTGGAAGCACATGTCGAATGTAAAATATCGTTCCGAGAGGTTCATAAAGTGGTAAATTAAGAAGACAGCCCATTCTATTTAATATTGTATTGAATTTTTTTATTTTTATTTTTTTTTATTAAACGCCTCTGCCGTTGGCTATTAGGCCATTCGGCTCCTGGCAGCCCAATACAACTCCGCCATGAATCCTTTTCCATACATCTAACTGTACAGCCTCCAATTTATCATTCTCTTCCATCTTCTTTTTAATTGAAAAGGTTACCTTGAGGAATGATTTAGCAGCGACAATTGTTCATGATGCAACCTGCCTGGCTCTTTGCAGTTTATAAGTTTGATATCCCGGTGATTATTCCTCCTTTGTAATAATCGTCTTCCATTCGGTGAATTTGTCAGCAGTTAGGCCACCAGCGTTCCTGAACATAGCCTTAAGCTATTTGTTGACTGAGCCTTTTGGTTTCCTTAATTTTGAAGGGATTCATATTTTGTGGATTCTATGATGTTGAACTGTCTTCGCGGCGAGAATATTGCTCATTTAGTTATAACCGGAGGGCACGTGTACAATGTACGGACGCGAGCAAAGTTACCCAATTTTTATTAAAGCTTTTTAGTTTAAAGTTTTAACAGCTGTTCCTAATAATTTATATATATATAAAAAAAAAAGGTTTTGAATTAGTTATGAATATTTAAACTCCAGAGAAAAATAACTGTCCTTTTTTTTTCTTCAAATTGAGTTATCGGTGGCAGGGGTGCCCAGAAGAGGTTTTCATGGCGCAAGTTGCGCCATCAAAATTTTTGAGAGGAGCTCATTTTGACTGGGTTTTGAATTTTTGAGGGAGACGAATTTCAATGGCGTAAAGAATTTTCGAAATGAAAAGTTTTAAATCAAAAGACAAGTATAGAACAGGGAAGCATAGAACAGACTGTAGGGTTTGTAATTGTATATAATCTACGAATTTGTAAATTCTACTTTTGTTTGCACTATTTTTAAGAAGAGGAGAGTAATAAAATATCTTGAGAAGGGTGGGGGGAAGTTTATGCGCCATCGGCCTTGGGGGGAGGATGGCTACCCCTGATCGGTGAATTAAAATAGAAGAATAATTGGTAATTGGTTGACTGTCGTGGATAATGAAGAGAAGAATAGTTGGGGTGTTCAGTCAAAAAGGAAGGCAAAAATAAATTATAATATTTATTTTTTAGAAGAAGTAAAACACTATTATCTTATCAGATGTAACATACAAAATAATGTTTCTGTTCTTGATAAAAACTATTCGAAAAATTAGCTACTTTACAGAATAAAAGTCTACATCCGAATTTGAATATCGCTTTTTTCTCGTATTCAAGGTTTTTGGGTTATGATTGTTTTTTCTCCTGGTCGTCATTTAGTGTAATAGTAGGATATCGTCGCTGATTCAAAATTATCTCTTTTTGGACAACATAATGGTATTCGCTGGCGACCATAGGCACCTTCAAATAGCTCTCAACGAATAGCTTGGAGAGATGAGAAGGAAAGGGGAAATTGCTAATATCAGTAATCACAAAGCCATGCATGTTGTAAGGAATGCAATGTATAATAGAATCATTCGAATATTTAATACATGAGATAGGAAAACCGAGAAATTCCGAAACTAATGGAAACAAATAAACTGGATTTTTCAAATATCTTCAATACTAAAGAGCGAATGAGGAGAAAAAGTTGCACAAAGTTAAATCGGTTTCCTGGGCTCTCCTACCTTATAGATTAGAAAACTGGATATGTGGAAAAAAAAAAAAAAAAGTAATCACAAAGGAAATGAAATAACTATTAACGTCCCTCTTTCTGTTGCAATAAGAATACATAGGCGAGGGATCTCTTGAATCGATCCAAAGGTAGTAATCAAATCAAAAGTTGGTGTGGCTAACTTCTGACCAATGTTACTTTAATCTGGGTATTACCAGGTGCAATTGAGGAAATAAAAAAATCAGGCAGCCTTCGAGCATACAAACTTATAGTCCGTGGTACAGATACGTTTTTATCAAATTATTAGCATCCGCTTGAAACATTGTAAATAACTTCATCTCATCGGAACCTTCAAATATTTTATTTACGTAAATTCTCGGAATCGGAGCGTTTTCTATTTGTAGGGAGTCAAACTTTGTATATCTGATAGGTAGTAAAAACTCGTAAATACTCATTTGCTTTCCACCAGAATTGTAAGATAATGTTAGCGCAAAATCAAGAAAAAAGTTGGCCTCCAAAAATATTGAGGCGTTTGGAGTGACGTACGCCCGCGGAATTGTCAAAATAACGAGGTCATATAAGACAAACGATTCCATATTTTTGTAGGCCACCTTTTTTATTGATTTGTTGATAAAATTATCTTACGATCCAAAGTGGAAAGCAAATGGGTATTTACTAGTTGTTAGTACCTAGTTAAATAAACAAAGTTTGACCTCCTCCAGATTGAAAATACCCCACCCAGAGTTTTCGTTAATAAAATAGTTGTAGGTTACGGTGTGATGAAGCTATTTACGAAGTTTCAGGCGGATGTTAATAATTTAATAAAAAGGGGTCTGTACCACGGACTATTTTATTAGTAATGTATTAACAGCTCATAGTTAGAAGAGATTTAAATTTTAAAAAAATCAGTCCGTGATAGGTCAAATCTTTCCGAAGCATTTGGAACCATTTGCGAAGTAGGACAAGGAAAGGCCTTTGCTTTGCCTCCTGTTTAATACGACATTAAAAAATGGCTTTCCGAAAATTGAAAATTCAGTGAATAGGCCCCATCTTTGACAGAGCAGTACAGTTGCTAGGATACGTCGGTGACATTGACATCGTGGCGAGGTCAGAACAGGCAATGTTTCACTTCTTTTGAAACAGCCGCCAGCGGTCTCGCAGTTAATGAGAAAGAAACTAAATATATATGAGCCGATGGTGGTGGAGATACATTTTTGCACCCTAAGTTGGAGATGCATATTGCCTCCTATAAGTTTCAGAGAGTGAAGACTATTGTGTACCTGGAATCCATGGCGCATGAACCTCTCCAAACATTTTATTACTCTCTTCTTCTTAAAAACAGTGCAAGGTAATTTATAATTTGAAAAATCGAAGATCATATACCCTAGTTCTCTGTTTTGAAACTTTTCATTTCAAATATTCATAACCCCGTCAAAATGTGCTCCCTCAAAAATTCAAAATCCCGTCCGAATGTGCTCCCCTCAAAAATTTTGATGGTACAACTTGGCTCTAAAACATCCTTCAGGGCACCTCTGGATGGTGCAGAATTGGACGTAAGAAACTTGCTGAATCCGTAACTGGACTGCTGCAGTAAAAGACAGAGCCGTTTGGCGGATGCTGCTCGAGGAGACCTTGGCTCCCTAGTAAGGTAATGTATTTATATTTGTATGTATTTACAGATTTTTAAAAATTTTATTAATTAAATTTGGTATTATACAAATATTTACAGCTAACTAAAGTGGTCTAGGCCATATGTCAAAACATGGTGGTTTTGACATATGGCTCAGAGGCTTGGACGATGACTAAAAACGATGAAATGAAGCTGAGTGTGTTTG